CTGAGCTACTATCCCTATTCACTGCAATGATTCACCTGCTTTCCTCCCTTTTTGGCATCTGTCTTTACCACTTCCAGTGGACTTTTGAGTCTATCAATGTGAAAAATGTATTTTGGAGATTAGGTTCCCAAAGGGTACCATCCACTTTACTTCTCTTCTGCCTGCCAGCACCCATTCCCCATCCCTCTTCAGGGACCCATCTCATGAGCACTTTCTAAGGTGGGAAATCAATTCTCTTCTACTCTTGGGTGCTATAGAACCTGTTCCCAGGCAGAACAGAGAGAAGGGGTTTATTCCAGGTACTTCCTGGTTCCAAAAAAGAGAGGCAGTTGGAGACCCAGCCTAGATTTAAGGCTACTCAACACCTTTTGTGAAATTCAGAATGGTAACACTTGCAGCAATAATTCCATCACTGGATCAAGAGGACTGGTTCTTAGCCCTCATCCTTCAAGACGCATATTTCCGTATAGCGATCCACCCATCTCTCAAAAGGTTCCTATATTTTATTGTCGGTTGTGGCCATTTTCAGTACAGGGTGCTCCCTTTCGGCCTCTCATCTTCCCCAAGGGACTTTTCAAAGGTTAGGGCTGTCCGATATATTTTTCTGCAATTTCTACCACTGATAGTGGCAAACACATAAAGGTCATGATGGATGGACATGTCATGCATGTTTTATACCAACCAACCAGGAGGGCAAGAGCCCCTTACCTCTGCATCAAAGCTGTCAAATTTTGGAATTGGTGCATATGCAATCAGTTAGTCATCACAACAGCTTACCTTCTGGGAGCTCAGAGTGTGACCATGGATATGCTTAGCAGGCACTTTTATTTCAAGATTGCAAGTGGGAAATAGATTCATTTTACTTTGGCAATGGGGCACCCTTTGGATAGACCTGTTTGCCACAGCCACAAACAAGAAATGTGCTCAGCTCTGCTCCAGAGGCAGGCTGGGTTACCGATCCTTGGGGGATGCCTTTCACCTTCAGTGTCTTTTTGGGTCTACTGTATGCGTTCCCTCCAACTCCTCTAAAGAAGGACAAAGCCAGAGTTTTCTAATCGTTCCAATCTGGCCCAGACAGACATGGTTTCCTTACTTTAGACAGCTGGCCACTTGCTCACTGATCACTTTCCGGACAACCCCATATCGTCTCTCCCAGGAAGGTGGGCAGATTCTTCACCCTAGTCTGTGTTCTTTGTCTCAACGCATAGCTGGTTGATGATTCATGGGATTAGAAACAACCTATTCAGAGGAAATAGTGCTGTTACACAGCAGAAGCTGTCTGTTTGCTACTTACTTGAAAAAAAGGACAAGATTTGGCTGCTGGTGTGACCTCAAATGCATTCCACCAACAACCTCATTGCTGTCAGATATATTAGACTGCATCCAAGAACTGAAACACTTGGGTCTGTTGCTGAGCTCCATTAGGGTTCACCTGGAAGCCACCTGGCTTTCTGTCCCTTAAAGGGGGTTATTTTGTATTTCCTCACCCAACAACCATGATATTCCTCAGGGAACTTGGAAATCTCTTCCTGCCAGCCAAATGTCCTACTCTGGGTTGGGACCTCAGTCTGGTTCTTAAAGGCCTTACAGAATCGCCATTTGAAGCAAAGACTACCTGTTCACTCCTCCATTTATTGATGAAAACAGCATTTGAGGTAGCCGTTACGTTGGCTTGGCAAGTTGGGGAAATAGGGGCACATGTGGCATGTTTTTCAAAGATAAGGTCACATTACAGCCATGCCCCAAGTTTTTACCAAAAGTATCTTTGGATTTCCATATTAACCAGCCTATTCACTTTCCTGTCTCTTACCTTAAACCTGACATGGGTAAGGAAGAAGTGCTGTTATACATATGCACGCACACACGATGTCAGGAGAGTCCTGGCCTTCTATCTTGACAGGACTAAATCTTTTAAAAGTCTCCCAAATGGTTTGTCTCGATCGGAGATCGATCAGAAGGGTGTGCAATTTCTAAATAAAGACTTTCCAAGTAGATATCCAACACTAGTAATGAACATCCAACTGCATTTGTTTCTACCAGTCTCGCAGTCTCCAAGCTCCCTTGGGCATACAAACTCACTCTGCAAGGTCTATTTCTACCACAGCAGCCTTTCTGAAAAATGTTCCCATTATTGAAATATGTAGAGCCACAACTTGGGCCTCTGTACATACCTCTGTTGAGAACTATGCAATAACTCATGACTCTGCTTCCAGTGCTGCATTTGGCTCAGCTTTACTTTCTTCAATATTGGACTCTACTCTGAAGCACCCTCCTCCTTAAAGGGAGCTGTTCGGTAGTCACCTAGAGAGGCACACCCGGAAGGACACTACTTCAAGAAGAAATGGTTACTCATCCTGTGCAGTAACTGTGATTCTTCAAGATGTGCCATTTTATGGGTGCTCCACTACTCACCCGCCTTCCCCTGTGCGTCAGAGTTCTCTGCTCTGGAGCTTCGTGGTAGAGACGAGGTGAGGGTGGTTCGCCAGCCCAATGCTGTGGAGCAGAGTGGAGCACGAGACCAAGTAATATGTCTGCGTGGGCTGAACCAACACTGCTCTGTGAAATGTCTGATGAAAGGTGCAGGGGGCACAAGTACACCTACAGTGGAGCACCCATAGGGGGACACATCTTGAAGAACCACAGTTACTGCACAGGGTGAGTAACCGTTTCTTTCGGTTTGAAATGAACCTTTTTTAATCCACCGAACCAAAAACCCAGCTATTTGCTCAATGGCTAGCCTTCGTATAGAGAATATGTTGTAGGGTGCTGGAAGAGGAAATGAGCAAATGAAGGGAAATTATGCCCACCCCACCGCACTCCCCCCGAAAAGAAAAGAAAAAGCTCTGCAGGATTCCAGAGGTACATCGTAAACCAGGCACATACTGACTGTCGCACATGTCAGAGAAATACATATGCAGCTCTGACCGTTCCAGACAGTTTCTTCGTGACTGACCAGCAAAGGATCCCCTTTGTAGAGATGCTATGTGTCAACAGCCATTGTTCCAACCCTTCAGCCATTCTCAGACACACCTCACTGGATATCTTTCTGTGTCTCTAGTCCTGCCTTCCGATCAAGTCCAGTGCAACCGGCAAATGTCACCCCAACCAAGGAAGAAATGTGGCGTGAGATTACACTTACTGAGATGGTAGTAGTTCTCCTTGGTGTTCCTCTAATGACTTGGAATTCAGTACCAAGACCCCTAGTGCACTGAGGGACTGAGGCTTGGTGGAGTCCCTAACTCTGCAAGCAATGGCACAAAGCCCTGCAGTAGTGCAGTTCCAATCATTGAGCTTAGCAGGAGTGTGGGTAGCCTGATCCACAACACAAAGATGGGTGTGCTGGCACTGAGCTCAGCTACACAGTGCTCTTAGGCCTGTTAAGGCTCCGTCTTCCAGGGCCACCCACTTGCTAGACTTCAGAGTGACACTCAAGAGTGTCAGAAGTAGCGAACTCTAATTCATTAGATGCCCCCTAGGGAGAACCACCACCACCTCAGTAAGTGTACGCAGCATTGTGACCAAAAGCCCCAAACTGACAGTAATTAGCTTATTTTGCACGGGTAGGCACTCTAGGTGGACTGAACATAGCAAATCACCCAGACTGCCTGCCTGAATTACAATGCCTAGAGTCTCCGTTTGGAAGCTGGAGAAGGGACTTCACTGTCTTTGGGTCAGAACCTAGATACTTGGAGATAATGAGAGAGAGAGAATGCCCCAAGCCTTTTTCTCCCTCACAGTTCAAGGAACTGTGGGTTGTTTGGTCAGCAGTACTGGTTTTCAGCAGGGTGGCACATGACAGCCAGTAGAGAGACTTGGGAATGTGCTCTACTGCCTTCACAGGACAAAAAACCATGAACTACAGGAGTTACACCAATCTCTTGCTAATGTGCTAAGACCAGGTGAATCCTGGAGGATGAGGGGCTAATTCTCAGCTGTGTATCCATGGAAGGTGCAGCTGAGAGGGTGAGCCACCAAGGAACTGGTGGCAACTCACTGATCCCAGTATGCTATAGAGCATCCCGTAGTCTGCTCTACAGTATTGTGACTGGTAACATCCTCCAAAAGCCATCTGTCAGCTGGGGATTGCCGGAGTAGAATTTGCTCACACCATGCTCCTTTCTGGCTCCCCTCTGCCCTCAACATATGCCTTACTCTGGGGGATGTGATGTGAGGAGGTGGGGTCCAGCTGTGGGAATTCCCAGCTGTTTGTTTCCAGAATAACACTGAGAGATTGCATCTCAGCTCATGATCTGTCCCAAAATATTCAGAGAAGCAGTTTTTACAAGGCAAGTAATTTTTCCCTTTCTGGTAATTGTTTGAAGTTTTCCCTCTTTTCCACCTTTCCTTGAGAATTGCATCTAAGGTGTTGAATCTTTGTCATTATTCTGCTACCTGTTTATTATTTCTGCTTTGGAAGCTTCTTGAGTGAGATGGAAGTGAGCAGGCTTGTACATTTATACTGGCCTTTGTTGAGGATTCTTTGTCATCTTGCTTCCTGGAAGCTGGAGCCATAACACTTTTAGTATAAAGAATTTGTGGTTGGGGAAAGAGGAGAATTGGGGCAAGCAGCATTACTGGTAAGTAACACTCCCATGTGGGTTCACCCCAAGTAAGCAAGTCTTATGATACTGTGCTAGTGTAGTCCTGTAATATGCTTCATGTACAGCATAGTCTAGGAGAAGCACAGCTTGAGCTGGGATGGGTTAATACATTGATTTAAAGATCAAATGTACATTGATATGAACAAAACTGAACATTATTAGTATTTTGTAGATTTCTTTGTTCATTGTTTTGCATGGTACTTTCAAAACCATAATTTTGGACCTGAATGCCAATTTCTTATGTGTTTAACAAGCTTGCTATGTCATAAAGCTTTTAATCTATTTTTTAAAAAAAGCGAAAAGCATCTTAACTTATATTACAATTTCACCATCTTTAAAGTATTTTATAACTACTGCTGTCCTTTGATTTGTTTCCATTTTATTTCTATTATCTTGCAGCATCTTTTATCCAAATTCTTCTTTCTTATAAATCTTGTAAGTAGGAACCAGTAGCTTTTCCTTAATTGCAGTCATGTTTTTTTTTCTTTTTTCATAATCCCATATTTTTATTTGTAATGTCATTGTCATTGTCTCTTGTAGCTTTTGCACTTTTACTTGGGAAAGACAAGTAATTTTTTGTGTGTATGTTTTTTGAATGGGGAAGATTGTTGGCAAAAGCAAATTAATCTGCCTGAATCAGTCCCATCATTTATGTACTATAGTCTGTGATCATGTCATGAATTTCAGGACTTTGCACTAACCATGTTTTTGTTTTTGTTTTTTAACTTAAAGCTTATTTTTATACAGACCTAGTGTTTGATTTGTATGCATTGTGCATGTAGTGTTTTTTTTCCAACTATACTATATTGCTGGATAGCTTATTTAGGACAAAAATGGCTCATGGGAAGATGCATAAAGATTTGTGCTTATTTGCCACTTATGCCATAAAAATCTTTAAGGTAACAAACATCAAATAGTTTACACCAAGAATTTTAAAAAGAAAAACTGAGTAAAGACTTTTTTGTTAGGAACTTTCTAAAAATTAACTCTCCATACAACTTGTAAATAATGTAACTGGCAAAGCATAATCAGGACTTCTGTTTGTATGACTTCAAACTCCTCACCCTTTGCAAATGTGATTTTCCCCCCCCCCCCCCCCCAGCATCCCAGGCCCTAAATTGTGTCTGTTACTGGTGAAATTCTGATGTGTTCCTACACAAAACCAAACCAGCCTGTATGGTTTTTGAAGTAATACTGGCACATGATTGCCTTTCCTAAAAATCACAAGCAATGTGCTGTTCCAATCTTTGGGGATCCCACAGGGAAGTGTCTCTCCTGTTGCCTAGGGAGTACTCAGTACATCCTTCTTGGCTGCCACTCCAGAGGAAATAATGGGGCAAGCAGAGTGACTAGCTTTCTCCATGTTGTGCACATGGCACTGACATAGGGGCTAGGAATATCACTAAGAGGAATTCATAAACTACATTAGTTATGTCACTCACAGATATATTCTGCAGGAAAAGAAAACCATGCTAAAGAATGGCCAACCTCACTTAGCCATGGGGCTATCCAAAGCCATTTTGATAGTTTAGAAATGTTTGTAGGGCATGTTGAAGAGTGTATTTAAAAATTTTCATTAATACTATGAAGTAGCCACTAGGCAACTGTCCAGTTTTCTGGTAGCTGACACCCGGGACTGGCTAACTTCAAAGATTTCCATGGCAATTACAGGCACTGTGTGGTGGAGGGACCAGATCACAACAGCAACTTTCAACACATTCAGACATATCCCACCTCTCTCGCAGCCGTCCCTTTCACTCTGATATGGGTCCTGTCCTCTTCCTGACTTCTGGAAGGCAGATGACTTGCTTCAACAGTAGAGGCCAGAGGGATAAGCTGGGCCAGAGTAGCTCTGTACTCAAGAGGCAGTCAAAAAGATCAGGGAGTCATGAAGCATAAAAGTAGTCATCTGTTTTTTTGGGGAGGCGGGAGGGGGATGGAACAACTTCAGATAGTGACAAGATATCTTAGGAGATGGCAAGGGAAATTAGAATGTCTAATTTTCTAAAGGGGAAGAGGAGCAGGAAGTGAGATGAGTGGAATGGTGGATCTTTTTGTGCACAAGGCAGGGAATTAGTCTGATGTGCACCAGTGCGCACATACTCAGTGTAAGTGTACTCTTCTTCAGTACACAATGCTGAGGGTGAATATACCCATACATAGGGTCTGAAGAATTAATATCACTCCTGTGTTAGGGAAAAATCAAATACCCTGAAATAGGTTTTTAAATACAGGCATTGATTCAAATACAGTGAACTAGCAGCTTCATCATAGTCACTAAATTTGACGTGATCTTTGTGTCCTGGATCCCATGAGCCTGTTTTGTATGTTGACAAAACACAATGAAAACTTTTACTTTTTCTCTTTCCAGCTATAGCAACCCAAGCTAGCATGGAGTTTCGTCGGAAAGGATCACAAATGTCCACAGACACCATGACTTCCAATTCCACATTTGATGCAAGTGAATTTCCTGATAACTATGAAGCAGGAAGAGCAGAGGCATGTGGAACGCTATGTAGGATATTTTGTAGCAAGAAGACTGGGGAGGATATACTGCCAGCTTATTTATCCCGGTACTAAAATATCTTCCAGTTGCTTTATTGCTACAATTTTGTGATGACAATCTAATTTATTTTGCGTAAACAGCCTCCAGTTTGGACCTGAATCTTGTAATGCTAATCAATGGATAATTGGTCTTTAAAGATGCTGCATCTAGGAACCTCTGTTTAATCAAGGGGGGATTTCTTGCCCCCTCTCATCAACTCAGTTATATCGGGGTTTTCTTGAGGATGCAGAATATATCCCTTTCTTTTGATGGCTTTATTTGGCTCTTCCATTGTAATCTTTTCTCTTGTCCACTATAAGACTAAAATTTTTTTACTACACAGACACAAGGCATATTTGTGCATTAGACATTGAAAGATGTTCCTATATGGTCTCCAGTTTTACAATAATGAAGCCACGTAGGCTTAAATTTGAATATGGAAATCTCATGAGATGTTCTCTTCCAGAACCATTGTGATTAGGGCTGTCAAGCAATTAATAATGCGATTAATTGCTCTGTTAAACAGTAATAGAATTCCATTTATTTAAATATTTTAGGATGTTCTCTACATTTTCAAATATATTAATTTTAATTACAATACGGAATACAAAGTGTACAGTGCTCACTTTATATTTAGTTTTGATTACAAATATTTGCACTGTAAAAAACAAAAGAAATAGTATTTTTCAATTCACCTAATACAAGTACTGTAGTGCAATCTCTTTATCATGAAAGTTGGAGTTACAAATGTAGAATTATGTACAAAAAAAAAAACTGCATTCAAAAATAAACCAATGTAAAACTTTAGAGCCTACACGTCCACTCAGTCCTGCTTCCTGTTCAGCCAATTGCTCAGACAAACCAATTTGTTCACGTTTGCAGGAGATAATGCTGCCCACTTCTTGTTTACAATGTCACCTGGAAGTGAGAACAGGCGTTCACATGACACTGTTGTAACCACTGTCACAAGATATTTACATGCCAGATGCTCTAAAGATTCATATGTCCCGTATGCTTCAGCCACCATTCCAGGGGACATGTGTCCAGCTGATGACTGCTTCAGCTCAATAACAATCCAAAGCAGTGCGGACCAACGCATATTCATTTTTGGCATCTAACTCCGATGTTGAAAAAAGCAGAAGGTTGATTTGGTTTGGTTCAGGTCCTGTAGTTTCCTCATCAGAGTCCTACTGTTTTAAGACTCCTGAAAGTATGCTTCATGCCTCATCCCTCTCAGATTTTGCAAGGCACTTCAGAGTCTTAAACCTTGCTTCAAGTGCTGTAGCTATCTTTAGAAATTTCACATTGGTACCTTCTTTGCATTTTTGTCAAATCAGCAGTGAAAGTGTTCTTAAAACAAACAACATGTGCTGGGTCATTATCTGAGGCTGCTATAACGCGTAATATATGGCAAAATATGTGTAAAACAGAGCAGGAGACATACTATTCTCCCCCCACGGAGTTGTCACAAATTTAATTAATGCATTATTTTCTTAATGAGCACCATCAGCATGGAAGCATGTCCTTTGGAGTGGTGCCCGAAGCATGAAGGGGCATACGAATGTTTAGCATATCTAGCACATAAATACCTTGCAATGCCTGTTCTCACTTTCAGGTGACATTGTAAATAAGAAGTGGGCAGTACTATCTCTCGTAAATGTAAAGAAACTTGTTTGTCTTAGCGAAGAAGTAGGACTGAGTGTAGGCTTTAAAGTTTTACTTTTTCTTGTTTTTGAGTGCAGTTATGTACCAAAAAAGTTCTACATTTGTAAGTTGCACTTTCATGATAAAGAGATAACACTATGGTACTTGTATGAGGTGAATTGAAAAATATTATTTCTTTTGTTAATCATTTTTACAGTGCAAATATTTGTAATAAAAAATAACAAAGTGAGCACTGTACATTTTGTATTCTGCGAAAGATTCACATAACAAACAGGTGGGAGGGAAATATTTTTTTTAAAAGCAGGAATGGCAAAACCAAAACCTTTGCATGAGGACTCAATAGAAAGTATCGCAGGCTGGATAAAAGTAGTCATTTAAACCAAATTAGGTTTTTTATATTTAGAGTTTTATTTGCATGTTGCTCGTTATTAATTTAGCAATATAAAATGGAAAGTAGAATGCTTTGTACTTTTTCCTTTAGTTTCCTAAATGTTAGTAGAAACAAATATGTAAAAATCTGAAATTCTACTAAGAAATTTCATACTTACAATATTTACCTATGCTGAAAAAGACAAGACTGGGGCCTTGTTAGCATCCTTACTGTGTGAACAACACAAATTTAAACAAAATTGGTAAGACTCTAACCTGTGCTATATTTGTGACCAACATCATCTTCCAATATATGAACTTCCACAAATCAAAGCTTGAAATGCTTTGATATGGGTATATTACTCCATCAGAGTTTGCAGTCTGAAGTCAATGGGATATGTGCTCCTAAGTCATTTAGGAGCATTTGAAAATGCCACCCTTTGGTTCATATGGATTCAGGAGCATAACTGTAGGCACCTGGTTATTGAAAAATTTTGGTCTGTATTTTATTTTAAAAGGTTAAAAATAGGTATTGACTAATGACCAGTCTAGTTGCTAATGCAAAGGCTCTTTTTGTACAAACCATTTAATCCTGTCTCTCTCTTTCAGATTTTACATGCTTTTAATTCAGGGTTTGCAGATAGCAGATTTCATTTGCCACCCAGTGCTGGCCAGCATTATTCTAAACTCTCCTCCATTGTTCTGCTGTGACCTGAAAGGGATTGATGTGGTGGTTCCTTACTTCATTTCTGCCCTTGAAACGATTCTACCTGACAGGTAAATACTTTTTTCATGTAGATGTCACAATTTTTCTTTTGACAAGTTACTTGTGAATAGTTTTCACTAGTGCATTCAAAATGGTACCCTGAGAGTCACTGACCCAGTAAATCTAGGTTAAACAGCAACATTAGTGCTTGGTAATGACTCTGGCTTTATAACAATAACCATAGTGCACACAGCCTCTTGCATTTCCTTTCCTTTAACAAGGCTTGGCAGATTTGATCTTTTTAAAATATAATTTTGATGGATAATATCAATATTTATTTTAAAGCATTTTTTTATCTTTAATGATTTAAGTTTTCACATTTCTGGGAAATTACGGGCGGCTCAGCCAGTAAGGGAGTCAGGCAATAATTATTTAATGACGCTATATGTTGAGATTCAAAATGTTAAAGCTTTATAAAAGTTAAAACACAAATTGCCAACATCGCATGTCAAAATATACAAAGGAAATATCCTTAAATCAACTTTAATAAATTCTCAAACAGTATTTTTTGTACTTTGCCAATCTGTAAATTTCTATTAATATTGCTGGAAATATTTATTGTCTGTTTGTGTGTGCACAGTGAAATTGACATTTACCAATTAAAAACTGAATCCTTCCAAGCCTAGCTTTAATTATGTTGTTGAGGTTTTGACCCAATACTAGCATGTTACCTTTCCAAGGAACATCATGTTCTTGTCCCCTAGCTCCCTGCTCCAGGTGTTATGGTTGGTCATTTTGATAATGCAGCATTGGAAATAAGTTGAGTTGGGTATCATTTGAAAACCCTTTCTTGCCCATGGTACTGAACATGACAAACCTAGAACTATTATGTAGATATGTATTCAAGAACATGTTTAAAAATCAACATTTAAAAAATTATTCTTTAACACAGACAAGTCAGACATGCAGTCCTCACAAAGTTGAATTGTGGCCCTCAATTGACAAGGCTGTGTTATCAGGTAGTGCTCAGAACATCATACCCAATTCATTTTTTGAATATTACCGATGACTCTAAATGGAAGGAGCACTTCAAGTTGATTTGCCATAATTGGCAAAAAAACCAAACGTGAATCAGTGGTACTGATTATCAGCTTGCTTTATTCTACCAAAAGAGTTGTAATGAGGCACTGGTTAAGATGTCAGCATCCAGCCAGAAATTACTTGAGTCAATCTATAATTGGTGTGCACATAGTTACATAACATACATTACATAACACAATGAATTATAATCAAAATAACTGATTACAAAATCCTTGTTTTTTACTTTGGTCTTGATAATTTTCAGGCATCAATGGGGAGACAAAGAGTACTGACTTGTACAGGGGTAGGCAAACTTTTTGGCCTGAGGGCCACATTGGGGTTCCAAAACTGTATGGAGGGCTGGGTAGGGAAGGCTGTGCCTCCCCAAACAGCCTGGTCCCTGCCCCCATCTGCCCCCTCAGAACCTCTCACCCCCGCCCTCCCCGGGACCCCCTGCTCCTTATCCAACCTCCCCGCCCCCTTACCATGCCGCTCAGAGCAGCATGTTTGGCAGCCGCACCGCCCGGCTAGAGCCTGCCACACTGCCCAGCAGGAGCTCACAGCCCTGCCGCCCAGAGTGCTGGCAGCATGGCGAGCTGAGGCTGCGGGGGAGGGGCCGGGGGCTAGCCTCTCCAGCTGGGAGTTCAAGGGCTGGGCAGGACGACCTCATGGGCTGGATGTGGCCCGTGGGCTGTAGTTTGCCCACCTCTGGACTAGTAGCTGAATCTTTGGAAAATATCACGGTAGGGGAGTTGGTTAAACTCAATGCTCGGTGGCACCTTACATAGTATAAGAAGTGCGCTCATAAACTGAATTTGGTAAGGTTGGAGGGAGAGCGTGCATCAAGAAAAAGTTTGAAGATTCTGGGACAACTGCCAGCTGTGGGCAAGACTCGCCGTGTATTAGGTCCTAGGGCATGCATTTCAAAAAAACACGTGCTCCTTCTGTTGTATAGAAGCACACACCCGAACACTTGTTGCCCTTTTAAAAATGATACCTAGATGTCTTCTTTGAAAAACAGATGGATGTGTTTGAAGTTCTTTTCCAAGGGGCACAGGACTTGCAAGACCAGTTCCATGCATCCAATGTATATTCAGCTCTCTGTGACCTCCTGCCACATGATGGGGAGCTGCAGTACTGCAGAATGGATCAAGAAATTCAGTGAGGTTGAATCGGCGAATCAGCCAACTTTTGAGATAGTGCAGCGATATATGAACATGATTGAGTCTTTGCTGCCCTTTATTTGATCTGTCAGGACTTCTAATTGGAATTTGCACCTTGCAGCACTGGAAGACTTTGAAATACTTTTTTGCCAACTATTCTGCACTGGTTGCCTGGGACCTTGCTGAAATAAGAGGTGTAGAAAAGTCTGACCCTGACACATGGGAGGAATTTTGAAAAGGAAATTGGGTTGTTAAAAGATCACTAGCACCCTTCTGTGTGCTTGGTTCAGACGAAGCCCTAAAACATGGAAAGAGAGCATTAAAAGTTTTTGGTTTGTTTGTGGTGGGAGGAGGAAGGGGTGTTGTGGGCATAACACAGCTTCCAAATGCCCTTTCCCAGTTTTTCCTGGCAACCTTAGAACTACATCACTTACTGTTTCGCTCAAAATCTGGGGTTGAGGGGTGTCTTCCCCAGAAATAACCAAGCACCAGCTAGACTCTTTAGGTGCTGTTAAATGCCAAAAAAGGGCAATTTTAAAGCTACAGGTTGAGCTTGTTTGGACTGGCAACCCATTCACGTATGACAGACAGGAGCTCATTAATATTTTGATTGAAAGCAGTCTTCAGTGATGAGATAGCTAAAGATGTCAGTTGAATGGATACTTGTGTGAAGCCTTCAAAACCCAAAGAATTATCATGAGCTCCAATAAAGAAAAGCAGACTAAAGTTGTGCTTGAATGCAAAGAATAAAGTCAGAGTGAAGGTGGCAGGAACTATTACAGAGCTAACCGCAGACAGGTCATTCTTTTGCTAGTCTCCTGGTCGTGTCCAGATCTCAGTGTGAGACTTTGGGAAAGTATGAGTTCTCCGTGGTACCACAATTAATGTTAGAATCTGACAGAACAAGAGAGATGTGCCAGATGAAAAGCAAGATAATGCACATCATGCATAGCCTTCCTAGGCTAACAACTACTGACAATGTCACCGGTACCTTATGCTAGCAGAGGCCTTTCAGTGTAGCAGTCATACATGGTATGGCTGAGGTACAAGCTCTTGACAAACCAGAAACTTAACACCTGCCAGGGTTTGGCTGAACACTTCATTATGAAGCTAGAGAGAAAACACTGGACCTATGACAAAGTCCACCTCATGTTTGACATGTTTGCAGGGGTGTAATCAAGAAGGCCAAAGCACAATTAGAGTTGCAGCTAGCAAGGCATGTGAATGGTAACAAGAAGGGTTTCTACAGGTATGTTCACAACAAGAAGGTCAGGGAAAGTGTGGGACCCTTACTGAATGGCAACCTACTGACAGATGATGTGGAAAAAATTGAAGTACTCCATGCTTTTTTTGCCTCTGTCTTCACAGACAAGGTCAGCTCCCAGACTCCTGTACTGGGCAGCACAGTATGGAGAGGAGGTGAGCAGCCCTCAGTGGTGAAAGGACAGGTTAAAGACTATTTAGAAAAGCTGGACATGCACAAGTCCATGGGACCAGATGCAATGCATCTGAGGGTGCTGAGGGAGTTGGCTGATGTGATTGCAAAGCCATTGGCCATTATCTTTGAAAATTTGTGGCGATCGGGGAAGGTCCTGGATGATTGGAAAAAGGCAAAAATAGTGCCCATCTTTAAAAAAGGGAAGGAGGAGAATTCGAGGAACTACAGCGTCACCTCAGTCCCTGGAAAAATCAAGGAGCAGGTCCTCAAGGAATCCATTTTGAAGCAATTGGAAGAGAGGAAGGGGATCAGGAACAGTCAACATTAATTCACCAAGGGCAAGTCATGCCTGACCAACCTGATTGACTTCTATGATGAGATAACTGGCTCTGTGGATATGGAGAAAGCTGTGGACGTGATATACCTCGACGTTAGCAAAGCTTTTTGATATGGTCTCCCACAGTATTCTTGCCAACAAGTTGAAGTATGGTTTGGATGAATGGACTATAAGGTGGATAGAAAGCTGGCTAGATTTTCAGGCTCAAATGAGTAGTGATCAACGGCTCGATGTCTAGTTGGCAGCCGGTATCAAGCGGAGTGCCCCAGGGGTCGGTCCTGGGGCGGGTTTTGTTCAACATCTTCATTAATGATTTGGTTGATGGGATGGATTGCACCCTTAGCAAGTTCATGGATGACACTAAGCTGGGGGGAGAAGTAGATGCATTGGAGGGTAGGGATAGGGTCCAGAGTGACCTAAACAAATTGGAGGATTGGGCAAAAAGAAATCAGATGAAGTTGGGGCACATGACTTATGAGGAGAGGCTGAGGGACCTGGGCTTATTCAGTCTGCAGAAGAGAAAAGTGAGGGGGGATTTGATAGCGTCCTTCAACTACCTGAAGGGGGGTTCCAGAGAGGATGGAGCTCAGCTGTTTTTAATGGTTGCAGATGACAGAACAAAGAGCAATGGTCTCAAATTGCAGTGGAGGAGGTCTAGGTTGGATATTAGGGAAAAACTAGTTCACTAGGAGGGTGGTGAAGCAGTGGAATGGATTACCTAGGGAGGTGGTGGAATCTCCATCCTTAGAGCTTTTTAAAGCCTGGCTTGACAAAGCCCTGGCTGGGATGATTTAGTTGGTGTTGGTCCTGCTTTGAGCAGGGGGTTGGACTAGATGACCTCCTGAGGTCTTTTCCAACCCTAATCTTCTATGATTCTATGAGAGTAAGTGGCACAGGATAAAGGGAGCACCTTTTTGCTAAAAAGGAAGTGGCATTTAATGGAAAATGGGGTGAATTTCCCTGCTGTACATATTGCTCCTAAACTACCATTCAGAAGCACAATTATTCCCCCCCCCCCCCCCCAAAAAAAAAAAAAAAAAAAAAAAAAGGCTAAGTGCACATTCTCAATCATGGGCTCCCTTGTTTGGGTCCAGTTTTTAGCATGTCTTTGACTTTGCCAAAGGGCTTAAACTGCTTTTAACCAAATCTCTATATTTGAAATATAGTGTATATCTGCGTATTTACTCTCAGAAGTGTGTTTATTCCTTCTGGGCAGTTCAGTGTAAGAGGTTAAATGTCAAATGCCCCTATTTTTCGATTGTATGCACAATCACATTGGGTTTGAATGTTAGATTAGATTAGAGTGGAGGCTAAAGAACCTTGTTCTGGCTCAACAAGGAAAGTACAGATTAAAACTATGTCACATGCTTCTTTTTTCCTTCAGTTTGATTGAAGAGGCAATTTGTCTTGCCCTCATAAAAGGAGATCCTGTTTCTAGGTCTTAGGCAACAGATGCCATACCTTATATAGCTAACTCGTTGTGTGTGTGACTGTATGCCTATACGCAACTGGTTACCTTAGTTTAAAATATAGTGTGTGAATGGTTTAGAGGGAAATATTTGCTGCTGTATTCCTTGTCTAGCTCTTCAGTACCAAAAAGTGTACACTCAGCTGCTGGGTGGGCACCTCATAAAATACTTAGTCCTCTTAGTCCTGGTAAAACATTCTGTTGGACTAGTATGAGATGACATGCTATTGAAAATAGTAGGTGTGAAATGGTGGTGAGACTGGAAGGGCTTAATAGATGGGTTTCAAACTACATTTTAAAAACCAGTCATGGAAGCATGTGTGTTCTTGTTTGGGGTAGATAAGCTTCATTTGAACTCACTGAAAATGAAATCATGACACTTACCATGGTTCTGTGGAGCTTATTAGCTGATTACTGCATTGTATATCAAGCTGTTGGACTGTTTCATGTTGCAGTTGGAGGATTTGCCTGGAGGGTCTTTCTGTCTCTAAAGCTTGAATTCTTAAAGCCTAGCTCTAAAATGAAGAATCTAAAGTCCTAGGTTGTTATGCTGAAGCCAGAGCTCCAGATACTTCTTTCTGTTAAAAAGAAAATCACTCATGACATACATGAATTCAAAGTCCGATAATTGATAACACAAAGTAAGGCTTCTAAGCCCAAAGTGAAACAGCTACCATATTATACTGTGTGCTCTTTGTTAGGGTTTTTGTGCCTCTAAATTTAATCAGTATGGAATTAAATTTAATTCCAAACTCCTGTGAAAAGTTGATTACCTTTCTAATGCTTTTTCTTATTGGCAGAGAGCTCTCAAAGTTTAAAACCTACGTAAACCCTACAGAGCTGAGAAGATCCTCTATCAATATTTTGCTGTCATTGTTGCCTCTCCCTCATCATTTTGGGACCATAAAATCTGAGGTAATGAATTAACATGATTGTTTTCTGTGAGATTATTTTATATATTTTGTCAGCATTTTTCAGAAATAATCCATGTTCATGTTACACGTGAAGTTGCAGAGCTGACTCAGTGGTCCTGCTGTTTGTCCTCTGCACAAAAGGGTACAGGTTTGGTCTTTCTTCCAGATTGTTAGGGCTGTTGAACCAGCAAGCTCAGCTCTTCAGGGGCTGTAGGGGAATTGAAAGCAGACGGCACACCTTGCTTTCCAGCATGCCGTCTGGCTAATATAAGAACAGCCTTCATAGGGGTTCCCAAGAGATGTCCCTCCATCCTCAGAGTAAGAAATTATGGCAATGGGGGATGTACTTGTGGAGAGAGGGAAGAAATGTGTAGGTTAGGATATTACTGTGCTCAAGTGTGATGTCAGGCTAGTTTAATGATATTCAAAGTCTGAATATCTTAGAAATCCACAAGGTTCCTCCATCCTCCAAGGAAAGAGAGAATTGGGTTATGTTTGACTTACTCTGCTTTCTTTGTTATGCTGCAATTATACCAAGCCCAATTTTGCTATCTAGTTAACTGCTCCATTTAGCACTGACTTTCTTGTATCCAGCTCTTCACTTACAGAGGAAATACCATAGTACATCACAGATGTTGGTAATGCTGCAGAGAGTCAAATACTTTCATTTTGGATTAGTTAAATTACTTAAATTGTAAAAGTAATCAAATAACAGATGCAAGTGCTCTGAGATGATCAAATCCATGTCTATGCTAATTGATATTAAAGGAAATGTATTCTTTCTTCAGGTTGTCCTGGAAGGAAAATTCAGCAATGATGACAGCTCATCATCATATGATAAACCAGTAACCTTCCTATCCTTGAAGCTGAGGCTTGTGAATATACTAATAGGAGCTTTGCAAACTGAAACAGACCCCAACAACACTCAAATGATACTAGGTTATTTGAATGTATTTATTTATTTATTTGTTTTTATGCTGGATTATAAGAAAAATCCTGAACTTTAGGATTTGAGTTCTCAATACCATAGAGCAGAATACTGTGCAAACTACCAGGGATCATGTAGGACTTAAATAATTGTGTGCCGCTATGCAAGCGGAAAGAGACAAAGTTCTAGCCTTAAATTCTTTTGCTTAAGAAATCACTTACATTGCACTTTTCACCGTGAAAGCATTCCGATAGACAACTAAAATTGTCCCAGTGATGTTTAGTAAGTATTATCCCCATTTTACAGATGGGGAATCGTAGATACTGTGTCCGCACAGCCAGCTCATTGGGCCTTCTGAACATGTAGTTTTGTTTATCTGTCACTAGGACTGTTGTAGCACTTAGAGGACAGAGTCAAGATCAGGACCCATTGAACTAGGTGCTGTACATACACATAGTAAAAAACCGTCCCTGCCCAGCTCCTTTTAAATCAGTGTCTGGTGCCTTGTCCTTGTAAAGGTTTCATAGTGTGTGCAGCTCATAAAAAATCCCATCTCCATACTTTCTGTGCTTGCAGAGTAGACTGCTTTTTCGGAGTTGAGTTCAGAGAGTTTTTAATTAAAAACGAGTGAAGATTTAAAAACAAAAAAGCTTTATTAAAAGACAAAGGCCTTTCTGAGTTGAGAGGAGCATAAAGAACCTCTCTGTCAATCCAAGTGAATTTAAAATAATTTACAGCAAAATCTGAGCTAGTCTATCACCCCCTGTGTTGAATTTCAGAGTCTGAAGCAAATTCTTGTGGCTATCATAAACCCTTAAACAGATCTTTTATAAAAGTGAGCACTGACACATTTTTGTAGATTTTAGCAGTGCACACACTGTTTTTCACACATTTGAACTGTAAGCAGTTCACCTCTTATTGTGTTTTAATGTTGCAGGAGCAATGTTAAATATTGTTCAAGACTCAGCACTTTTAGAAGCCATTGGCTGTCAGATGGAAACGGTGAGTTTTTTGTGTTAAAGCTGAACTGTTTTAGTGTATTGTAATTACTGTATTATACATACTTTTCCAAGATATCTAAGCTGATTCCATTAGGTTTCGCCTTTTTATTCTTCTCAGTACATCTTCTAAGAGTGTTTTCAATTATGCAGAACCCTAACCTATACAGTCTTCTCCCTCATTCATGCTGATTTCAATCTACAGAATGGTGGCGAAAATAACCTTTTGAAAAACCACCGTCGCACTAACAGTGGCATTAGTACAGCAAGCGGAGGAAGCACAGAACCCACAACTCCAGATAGTGAGAGACCAGCACAAGCACTTCTAAGAGATTATGGTAAGAAGTTAAACTTTTTTTTTTTTAATTGCCATAATATCCCAATTTTACAAAACTCCTTTCCAGGTTGTGTTTGACTTAATGAGATCTTTAGATATATGAACCTTCATGGATATTTTCAACCAGAGGTGATGGATATGGTGGGTAGCCCTTTGGATCTGGTGTTAATTGCTAAATTTTTGCTCCTATATGTATTTATCTATTAGCTTTCAGTCCTGTTATAAGTGTTTTGTTAATAATCTTATAATAGTAAAATGAGCTTGAAAGCTTATGAAAAATGGGAAAAGTTAATAAATTGCTTATCTTTGTAATGTATGTTTTCAATCCTCTTACGATTTGCAGCTGATACTGGGGCAGATCCTCAGGTAGTGTAAATTGTCACAGTTCCATTGATTTTGGTGTAGGTGTGACAATTGACACAAGTTGATGATCTGCCCTTCTTAAATCATAGTTAAAAGGATTCTGGTTTGAAAATTAATTATGTTCCTATAAAACAGGACATCAGCTACACAGACCACTTGATATAATATGTTAAAATTTTGATTTGCTTTAATTTGATGTAGTTTGGAGTTTGTTTGACCTTATAATAAAATCCACCCTGTACTAAATCTGTGTATGCAGTGATCCAGCTGAGTTGAGTGAAAGCATGGATTCCCATTGGTCGGTCTTTCATTAAATCACTAATGTTAACCAGATATATCTGAGAACAGACCACCTTAGTACGGTGTCTACTGAAGATGTACATTCTAGGGGCCAGGTCCTACACCACTGAAGATGAGTTTTGCCATTGATTTCCCCTGCCATTGAAGTCAATGTATGCTCTAAGTTTCATGTCAGCTGTTGAATTGTATCTGTGCAAGATTTCAGTTTGTCTGGAAATGGCTTAATTGGTATCTGAATGCTGCTTTTTCAGCACACGGGTTTGTTTTTAATACGCATGTTTTAATTGGTATGAGTTTGCACTGAGAAGTGCTTTTGGCATGTCTTATGCAAAGTATCTGTTTGTAGGGTTCATAGTGACCTTTTTTCTATGAATCAGTTGCTGAATTCTGTAACTATGGTACAGTCTAAAGACTGACTTCCATAATGTTTTGGCCAAAGACGTTTTAGCACTATTAGCATTCATTTTATTGGGTTCTTGTACCCTATACAGACAAAATATAGTGTTCAAAATAGAAGCATAATTTGGGAAGTTCATAAAAGCAGTTTTTTTTATTTTCATCTGGAGCCTCTAAAGAAAGTTCAAAAGAATCAGGATGGTCCGTTTTCAAATTTTAACTATAGCTGATACTTGAGTTCTGTTACTAGTGTTCCAGAGTGTCTTACTAAGAATTACTGTGGTTTTTTAAAATGTGTGATACATATTCTTAATGAAGATTCCTTTTTTCCATCATAATTCTCCTGTCCCTCTTAGTCACAGGCACCTGCTTCCTCTGGGCCCCAGGGATGCTCAAACCCCGCTCTGCCCCAGGCCCCGCCCCTACCCCCATTGCATCCCTCTCCCAAGCCCCAACCCCTGCCCTGCCTCTTCCTGCCTCTGCTCCACCCCCACCCCGCCTCTTCCTGCCCAGTTCTGCCCCCTCCCCTGAGCGTGCCCCATTCCCACTCCTCCCTCTCCCCCCCCCCGCACCTCCTGCACACTGTGGAACAGCTGATCACGGTGTCGGGGGGGGGGGCACTGTGAGAGAGGGGGAGGAGTTGATCGGTGGCTGCCGATGGACGGGAGGCGTGGAGGGGGAAGAAGGGGGGAGTTGGCTGCCGGTGGGTGCTAAGCATCCACTAACTTTTTTTTCTGTGGGTGCTCCAGTCCCTTTCTCCAGTCCATTTCTGAAATCAGTTCCCCCCCCCCATCTCCAGATTTAAAAAATTCAACCTAAATGACCCTCAAATATGAAATTATAAAGACGGCAGATACTGAAAACATGCCATTTAATTTCAAGCCTGGGGTGCAGGAAAATCAAATGTCTGGAAAGAATTGCAGTGCCGTTGCATCTTTTTTTCCAGGGTTAATTCTCTCCGTGCCTGGAGCTAATCTCCATGAAATGCTGTAGCAATTTTCAGCGTATGTATTTTAAGTCGAACGCTGTATAATATTTGTACATCACATTAATGTCTGAATTAGTTGAAGTTATGGGTACTCAAACTATGATCTCTTACAGAAACCTAAACGCTATAGCGAAAAGTGTCTGTATAAAGTAAATCTGCTGTTAGCCGTTCCACTGTTCCACAGTGTTAAACGCAGTAGCTAGTATTATGCAGCATGCAGCGGCCACCTAAAATGTGTTTTCAGATGAATTAGTCTAACGACATTCCACTGGCAAATCCAATAAAATATGCATACAGAGAGTCTGCTTTGAGAGTAGAGGCTAGTCTGATTTTAGATATATAACATGCTGGAGTTATAAACCAATTAATTCATGTGAAATTCACTAAATTGCTAGCTTCTGAGGTGTATGTAATTTCGTTTTCTGTGCTTATTGTGGTTGCTTTGGCCTGTGCCTGATGGATTGCTTTGCTTATTGTTACTAATGCTTAGTTATTTTCCCTCCCTGTGGGATGTGGTATTGGGATTATATCCTAGCTCTTAATACAGATACAGCAGCTGGACTACTGATTCGCAGTATTCACCTGGTAACACAAAGACTCAACTCACAGTGGAGACAGGACATGAGTATCTCACTAGCTGCATTAGAGCTTCTTTCTGGATTGGCAAAGGTGAGAGCTGAAGTTTCACTTGTTTTGGTTTTAAATAATTCAGAGATTATATCTAGCCACAAGATGTCCTGTACGAAGAAACAATGGTTCTGCTGATTGAAATATGAAGCATGTCTTGCTTCTATTCCTGGAATGATTTCCTGGGCTAGATAATTGTATAACACATTCAGGTTTTAATGAGAAATCCTTGGTTTAAAAGGCTATCACCCCAGTTCCAGAGCAGTTCACTGCCTTGGAAAATCTACCGGGGCAATGAGCCCATTTAAAAATTCTTTCTGTAAAGGCCACACCTTGCTTTTCCCCTTCCATTCTGCCCAGGAAACAGTCACTCTTGTAAACTGAAAACATACAGATTATATTTTTAATAAGGAAATAGTATTTTTCTTTTTGAAACTTGTATTTCTGCTCCTCAGTCTGAAGCTAATGAGTTTGCTGCTCCTCCCCTCTTCCCAGTTGAGTAGTTGGATCAATCCACTTGCCTGGATTTTGGCATTCCCTGCAGCAGTCCAGACCCTGAGCAGATTTCCCCCCACTGTATTCCCCTTTTATTGTAACTTACCATTCCCGGTACCCCCAAAAAACTTCCAGCTGTCTGTCAAACCATCTTTTTTTATACCTACCTTTGGGCAATTGTCACTTGCCCCTTTGAACCTAATTTAAAGCCCTCCTCACTAGGTTGTCTAATCAGTGTGCGAAGATGCCCTTCCCCTTCTTGGGCAGGTGTACCCCATCTTTCCCAGCCGTCCTCGAGCACCATCCCATGGTCAAGGAAGTCAAAGCTATCCTGTCAGTGCCATCTGTGCAGGCACGTGTTCATCTCCAGAATGTATCTGTCCCTGCCTGGGCCCTTACCCTTAACTGTGATAATGGATGAGAATACCACCTACACGCGTGACTCCTTCACTCTGCCTCCACGAGCCCTGTAGTCACTACAGATCTGCTCAGTGTTACATCTGACATTATTATTATTATTATTATTATTATTAGTGCCCACTAATAAGAGACCAGTACAGAGACCGATGAGCCTTGGCAATCTTTCTGTAACGTCTTGGATGCAGGCTGTAGGCAGGCAGCAACTTCCTGGGATGACAGGTCAGGTCAGTAGATAGATGCCTCCATCCCCTTCCGAAGGGCGGGTGGGGGGGATCCCCATCACCAGCACCCTATGTTGCCTCCTCTTAGGGGTGGTGGCCCTGAATCTCTTAGCTTCAGAGGAGATGGGGTCTCTTCCTCAGCCATGAGTCTGATCATCTCCTTCTGTTACCAGTACGGCATACTGGTTCTTGACCTTGATGGACTGGGTGAAGGTGGAGCACTGTCTACTGCCTGAGGCCTCCTCCCCACAGAGCAGGCATTCTCCTTACTGTTCTGGTGCCGCTGTCGCCTTCTGTAGTCAGCTAGTGACCTCCAGCGAGACGTCCCCATGTACATAATGTCAATGAAGTCCTTGCATAATAAATGACAATAAGCTCTTTGGCTAGGATCTGCCCCAACTTGTTCTTGGACAGCACTAAAACTGTTTAGTACTCAGTAAATAAATTAAAAATCCCAGCCTCTGTGAGGATCTAAATTCACCATGGGAATAACTGGCAGAGTGCCATTGGGAAGTCTGTTGTAATCACTAGAGAGGATTTTGCCTGAGAACAACCTTCAGAATAGTTGGAGAATTGGGAGGCACCAGACTTACCCCCTTCAATCTGCTTGTCATTGAGACAGTTTCTAACGGCGGCCCCACTCTGTGGCATCCAGCTCTGGGGTGGAGGAAAGGCTGCCTGTCTCTGGGCTCAGAGCCGTGTCCCCACCACCAGAGGCATGATGTAGATATATACACTAGCAGGCAAAGTACTGTCTGAGGCCAGGAATTCTAGCTCCTTGCTCTAGGCACCGGGGTCTGCCTTGTTACACGTTCTAAGATGTGGCTAAATTACAGGGAGCAGGGGAATCCAAGAGGGTTGATTTGGCTAGAGCAATCCAATTTGGGAGGAGGGAAGAAAGGAGGACGGTTCTTCATCTTTAACTCTTTATCAAGCCAACCTTTACCCCCAGTTTATGGTACTGTTCACTAGCTTCTAAGACCTTGGGCTCTGGCTCCATGGTTGTCCTTTCAGGCCAGAAGTTCCTTCCCATTTATATGTTGGGGAGTTTCCCACTAATTAATCAGAGAGGGGCCTGGCAGAAGAAGCAAGGTAATTACTGCTGAAAGGATCTGCTCCACCGACTGCTTTCCTTTCGCTTCCTCTTTTCCTGGGAGAAAGCTGCAATGTTAAATGAAGGCTGAGAGCAGAGAGTTCCATTGTTGGAGTGGTTTCAGAGTAACAGCCGTGTTAGTCTGTCTTTGCAAAAAGAAAAGGAGTACTTGTGGCACCTTAGAGACTAACCAATTTATTTGAGCATGAGCTTTCGTGAGCTACAGCTCACTTCATCGGATGCATACCGTGGAAACTGCAGTAGACATTATATACACACAGAGACCATGAAACAATACCCCCTCCCACCCCACTGTCCTGCTGGTAATAGCTTATCTAAAGTGATCATCAAGTTGGGCCATTTCCAGCACAAATCCAGGTTTTCTCACCCTCCACCCCCCCCCACACAAACTCACTCTCCTGCTGGTAATAGCCCATCCAAAGTGACCACTCTCTTCACAATGTGTATGATAATCAAGGTGGGTCATTTCCTGCACAAATCCAGGTTCTCTCACCCCCTCACCCCCCTCCAAAAACCACACACACAAACTCAATCTCCTGCTGGTAATAGCTTATCCAAAGTGACCACTCTCCCTACAATGTGCATGATAATCAAGGTGGGCCATTTCCAGCATAAATCCAGGTTTTCTCACCCCCCCCCCCACCCCCATACATACACACAAACTCACTCTCCTGCTGGTAATAGCTCATCCAAAGTGACCACTCTCCCTACAATGTGCATGGTAATCAAGGTGGGTCATTTCCAGCACAGATCCAGGTTTTCTCACCCCCCCCACCCCCATACATACACACAAACTCACTCTCCTGCTGGTAATAGCTCATCCAAAGTGACCACTCTCCCTACAATGTGCATGGTAATCAAGGTGGGTCATTTCCAGCACAGATCCAGGCTTTCTCACGCCCACCCCCCCCTCCTCCCCCGGGGAACACACACACACATAAACTCACTCTCCTGCTGGCAATAGCTCATCCAAACTGACCACTCTCCAAGTTTAAATCCAAGTTTAACCAGAACGTCGGGGGGGGGGGGTAGGAAAAAGCAAGGGGAAATAGGCTACCTTGCATAATGACTTAGCCACTCCCAATCTCTATTGAAGCCTAAATTAATAGTATCCAATTTGCAAATGAATTCCAATTCAGCAGTTTCTCGCTGGAGTCTGGATTTGAAGTTTTTTTGTGAAGTCACACAAAAGAGAAAGTTGTCTGGGTTTTGGCATCCCTGACCTCTGACAAGTGGATAGGTCTAATTACCTGCAAGAGAGAGCTGACAACCCGTAAGTTCCAAAATAAGGAAGCTAAGCAGAAATCCAACTTGCTGCAAGTCCCCTAGTAAACCAACTGGTGTCCTCTGTTCTTTAGAAGCAAACCAGTACATACTGTGGTAGGATTCTTGCACGATCTCTTCACTGTAACTTTTGTGTTCCATTGCATATCAGCATTATATTAAACCTGTCTTACTTACAGTGTTTTCATGTATGTCAGAGAGCAGCGCTGAAATGTTTTTGTATTTCTTAGCATTTAGAAGCACCTAAACAAGTTCTGTCTTCTCTGAAAGAGTTCCTGAAGAAATTCTCAGCTGATAGTGTCTCCCTTGCTTGCTTTACGTAGGTGAAGGTGATTGTTGATTCAACTGACAGCAAGCGAGCTATTAGTTCAGTGTGCAGTTACATTGTGTACCAATGCAGCCGTCCAGCTCCACTCCACTCTAGAGATCTTCACTCCATGATTGTTGCAGCATTTCAGTGCCTCTGCGTCTGGCTCACTGAACACCCAGACATGATGGATGAGAAGGTGAGAGAATCTGTGCTGTTCCTGTTTAATGGAGGGAAGATTACAGGTAAATTAAATTCTTGCTGTTTTGTGTTAGAAGGCTTGCACACCTAAACCACCTGTTCTTGGGTACTTTTTCAGGTGTATATTTCCAGGTTTAAAGAAATGCAGTCCGCTTGAAATCCTACAAACATAAACTAACTTCTGGCTGACTCTAAGTAGCGTTGCTAGAGGTGAGAAGGCATGGAGAGTGGGGTGAGGGGTAGGAGAACAGGGTGAAATGCATTGGTGGTGGAGAAGATATAGGGGATTGGGGTAAATGGAGCCATCTACGGGACCTATGAAAATGGGGTTAGGATGGGGGGATATGGATTTGGAATTGTAGGGACTTAAAGGGGTGTCATAGAGCTATGTTCCCTGGTCTCAGAATGGGTGGGGACTGTGGAAGGCTGAAAGCAAATTCAGGAGGTAAGAGGGCATAGATATATAAGGGGGAAACAGGGTACCTGGGGCGGGCATGGAGAGGGGACTTGAAGGCAGAGATCTGTTTGAACAGGACTCCTCTCTGTCAGGCCTTATCGACAAACTGACTTAAACTTTTGGCACTCATTGAAAAGACAGGGAAATTCCCCAACAGAAAGTGAGTTTGAAAAGAGTTAAGTTGACTAACCCACACAAACCGCTCACTTTCTTTACAAAAATCTGTGCCTAAAAACAATCTTCGCAAGTGTCCAAAAAGAAAAAGTGAGGGCTCTAGCTAGTTCCCCACTGCCCCACAATCCTTCATTACTCACTCTCATTTGCCTAGGCTGGAAGATTGATAACTTGAGAACTAGTAAAATAATGATGTGATGAGTCATGAAATGGAGGTCCAATAATTGAGAGGAGAAAGGGATTTTTAGTCAGATTGCTTAAAACTATTTTATGCAGTGTAGTGGGAGCCATGTTGGTCCCAGGTTATTAGAGAGGCAAGGTGGATGAGGTAATATCAATAAAAGAGATTACCTCACCAACCTTGTCTCTCTTTGGTTTGTCTGTTAACTCCCATTTAACTTCTGTGCCTAACATTTTAGCTAAAGGAAGCCTTTCTTAAAGATCTAGCATTCTTAACCCTTCAATAAGATGTGGGAGCTCACAGTAAACAAGCTCTGAGACTCACAACAAATTCTCCAGCAAAACTGAAAGGAGAGCAGACTTTCCATAAAATTTCTGAGATAAAATAAGCAGGAGGAAAAAACCACCACTTCCTGCCATACTCATCATAAAGAAGCAAAAAAGAGAACATGTACCCAGTTTTTAAAAAATTCCTTTGGTCACCTTCAGCAATGTTCTGTAAACAGTGTTTTGTTTGGGAATCATGTTCTTAGGTGGTGGTTAGCAAGAGTAGGTTTAAATAGAGGTGTAGGGTTTTCTTCGAGGGGCAGGTTCTCAGATGGTGTTACTCTATTTACTTCAGTGGAGATGTACTGACCTACCTCAGCTGAGGAGCTCACCCGTTACGGTGCCAGTGCTCCTTATATTTTGGTGTTTTAAATCACTGTCTCTGCGTCTGCATATTTTGAACATTCTGGGCCAATTTTTAATGTGCACCCACGAACAGTTATTCCCTTTGTATCCACAGATAGGCCAGGTGTGTGCACAAATACATACAATGCTCCGCAATCTCAAGGCAGCAACATGAAGATATGTATTTTGAAGTAGCACTTATACACCGTTAGCAGACATAGTCCTAAAAGGTTTTCATTTTTATCAAATGGCTTCTCCCAGTGAATCGGGGGCTGAGCTGTTTGTCTTTGGCAGCATGGTCTCAGTGGACTTTGTGTGTTCTTTCATACATTGAAGGTTTTCAACATTGATCACACATTGACTATATGCAGTTAACTCATATCATCACTTTATATTCCACATCAAGTGTTGGTTCATTCTGGATTCATGAGGTGGTCTTTAATCCCTTTAAAAATATTTTAGAGCCCACTATCGTGGGATGGCAGCAGTGCAGAGCTCTCAGGTCTGCTAGAGGCCTGGCACCTTATTCGTAGGCAGTATCTTGTGAAGACCAGTGTATCATCAGGAATTTCCTGGATTACAAGGAGAAAAAATTGCTACAGCTCCCCAGATGGAAGGGAGTTCAATGTGTGTTAGTAAACCATGTGTAGATTCCATGGCTTTCCTCTATAAGACACCGTAGAACCTCAGAGTTAGGAACGCCTGAGTTACAAACTGACGAGTCAGCCACACACTTCGTTTGGAACCAGAAGTACACAATCAGGCAGCAGCAGAGACCCAAAAAAAAGCGCAAATACGGTACAGTACTGTATTAAACATAAACTACTAAAAAAATAAAGGGAAGGCAGCATTTTTCTTCTGCATAGTAAAGTTTCAAAGCTGTATTAAATAAACTTTTGAAAGAACTGAAATGTTTGTAACCCTGAAGAAAACATTGTAGAGTTACAAACAACCTCCATTCCCAAGGTGTTCATAACTCTGAGGTTCTACTGTAAACGATACTTCTCCCCTGGAATATCCAAGTTTGACCCTTTTACAACAACACTGGGAGCTACATCCTACCTTGCAACAGCTCCCAAAGAAAAAAATTTCACTCTTTGGGTTTTTATGTGACATGACTGCAGTTCAAGAAAGTTCAGCAGAATGGCCCCGTCACCAGCAAACCTTCTCTCCGTCACCGCTATGGATGCACTAATTGACTCCCTGTGTGTCTCAGTAGATTTGATGCTGCTTAGCTGTTTAGTTGTAGTTTTTTCATTGAGGCTGAATGAGCAAGCTGAGGGTTTCATTTTACATTATGAAGGTTCTTTGCAATTGCAAGGGTTAGAAACTTTAAAGAAGAAAAGCTGACTGAAGAAATAGTAGAAATATGGAAAAGAGCTGCAACACTCTCTGGGATTCTGCTTAAAACATCAGAAGCAATCTCTCTGAAATGCATTTAATACATATCTGCTTAAATATTTTTATAGAAGACTTTTTCTGGATCACTCTCCTAATAACATCCTCTCTGTTGTGTTCCACATATATAACTGTGAAGAGATGGTGTATAATTTTAACTTATGTATAACATTTAGCAGCATTCTTCTAATGTGCTTTTGTACAAATTCGGCAAAGCTTTTTTGAGGGCCTACGTTTTTGCATTCTACCATGTACGTGTGTAGTTGGGATAGTCTTCTAGCAGTGCAAGAGCCTCAAAACTATATTTGATCAGCAAAACTCACATGGCAGAACTTCATTTGAATTGACAATACATCATTAGAAAGAGAAGGTGGGTGAGGTGATATCGTTTATTGGTCCAACTTCTGTTGGTGAGAAAGTCAAGTTTTTGAGCTACACAGAGCTCTCCTTGTGGTTCAGGAAAGGCACTCAGCTTGTCACAGATAAATGCAAGATTGAACAAATAGTTTAGCATAAATAGTTAGCACATATTCCAAGGAATCATTCAAGGTGAAGTGGTCCATTAACACACCTGCAGTCTAGGACAAAAAGGGGGATTAGTGGGTTACAGATTATTGTAATAAGCCATCAGTCCAGTGTCTATATTAAGACCGTGATTCTTAGTATTTAGCAGAGTTATGAATTTAAGCTCCCAGACTCGTCTTTTGAAACTATTGCACAGTTTTGAGAATGAGGACTGATAGGTCAGATATAGTGTGATCGCTTTGTGAATAGTGTTCGCCCACAGATGATTGGGTGCTTTTGTCTTTCATTATTTTCCTGTGTGAGTTCATTTGAGAGTATAGCGATTCTGGTTTCACCCACATAGTTGTTTCTGGAGCACTTATGTTGTACCTCATCCAGTGCACTCATCCAGTGTTATGATAAGCATGTGTAGGATCCATGAATCTTGAAAGTTGGGTTGTGGGGGGTGTTCCTCATTGTAGCAGTGAAGATAAATCTGCGGGTTTTGCATCTCTTGTTCTGGCACGGTCTGGTGCCACTTTGAGTTGGTGTCCTGGTCTGTGGGGAGTTTACTTCTGTTGATGATCTTAGAGAGGTTGGGGGGTTGTTTGAAGGCCAGAAGAGGGGGCTTTGGAAAGATTTCTTTCAGAGTGGGTTCCTCGCTGAATATGGGTTGTAGTTGTTTGATGATACCCTATATGGCTTCCAGTGTGGTGTGGTAAGTGACAACTTAGGAGTGTACAGTTGATGGGGTTTTTCTGTATTTAAGCCGGTTTTCTTGGGGTATTTGGGTGGCCCGTTATATGATGTGCTCTACTTCTCTGGAGTATCCTTGTTGGGTGATGGTGGTTTAGAGTGTGTTAAGGTGTGTATCCCAGACTTTCCCCTTGGAGCATATTCTGTGGTATCTAAGTGCCTTGCTGTAGATAACAGATTTCTTGGTGTGCTTGGGTGGATATGAAGGTAGGTGTGTTGATCTGTGGCTATAATGGTGATGATACATCATTGTTGCATGAAATTCTTTAGGGAGGACCAGATCTGTGTGTTTTGCTTTAAACAATTTGTCCCTTTCCCACTTTAGGACTGTTTAAAAGAGGTGTTGGAGATTGTGGAATTGGGCATCTCAGGAAGTAAATCCAAAAACAGTGAACAAGAGGTCAAGTACAAAGGAGATAAAGAACCAAATCCTGCGTCAATGAGGGTGAAGGATGCAGCTGAAGCTACATTAACATGGTATGGTATTCATCAGAATATGTCAGCTGCCTGGCAGGATTTTGCTGCTGGGGAAATTAGCGTTCAGAAGAACACTGTTTTAATGGGTGGGCATGATGGGTGGTAGACTGGGTAACTTGGGATGGATAGATATTTTTCACTTGCTAACTTTACAAGTGGCTTGCAAAAGGGGGTAACTTCCTTCTCTTTTATTCCACTTGTAGTAAATTGTCATACAGTTTAATGTGAACTATAAAATGATTCCATGTAGTTACCAAGATAAATGTAACTATTCACCAGAAACTTGCAGATAAACTAGGTATTGCATAAAAGTACTTAAGCTTATATTGCTGTAGTCCAGGCACTTTCCCTTTATCTATGTAAATAAAATTATTAATGGGGGGGAAAAGATTTAACTATTAAATATGCTCATATCTGGTGGTGATTTTACTTCTGGTCAGCTTTTTTAAAGGGCATAATTTCTGGGGGAGAGCTCAGGTAGATCTACAGCAATCTCCTACCTGATCTCTCCCCCAGAAATTACGCCTTTTAAAAAAGCTCTGTCAAGAGGTAGTATCATCACCAGACATAATCATTCCCTCATTCACTGTTCTTGGCCAGGGAATTTCTTCAGAAATTAAACCCTGAGATGGTGCTGTTCCATTGGTGGAGACAGATAATATCTGGGAAAATAGTAAAATAATAATTAAAAAAACCCCACCCTGCATAATTTCACATTATTATTGATTATTTTTATCGCAGTAGTGCCCATGGACCCCAATCTGGGTCAGGGGCTCCATTATGCTAGGTGCTGTACAACCACATACGAAGACCTGGTCCTCATCCTGAAGAGTTTGCAATCTGAAAACTTCAAAGGCTGAACTCCTCAAATTAGGGGCCTAGGTTCATGAAGGCTCTGCTGAATAATTTCTGTTCAAAGTAACACTAAAGCAGTGATAGCAAGCACACCTACTATGGCTGCTACAGTGCTTGGGATTCAAGAAGGGATTAGGAGTTAAACACTTCAATGGACAATAAGAATAGTCAGATATATACGAAAAGTTAAAATAAATAAAAAAGGGGTAGAAATTCTCATGCTTCAAAGCATTCCCAAACTGCTGATTTCCTGTGATAAAGAAGTAACTTCCCGAATGGACAGGTTATTTGTTCCTCACGGGGTTTCTTGCATTGTCCTCTGAAGCCTTCAATTATTGGTCCCTGTTTGAGACAGGACTTGGATTATGTGGATCATTGGTTTGATCAGTTGTCAAATTCCTATGTCAGGATGCAAAGGGAACAACATATCTAAAAGTTCCCATCTCAGACAGGATCAAGATGCGTCTTTTTAGGATGTGTTGTTGACTGAATTCTTCTCTGATTTGCAGTATTATGCAGTTACTTGGAGCATTTCCTTCACCCAGTGGCCCTGCCTCTCCTTGCAGCCTGGTGAATGAAACCACCTTAATTAAATACTCCCGTCTACCTACCATTAACAAACACAGCTTCCGCTACTTTGTCCTTGATAATAGTGTCATCCTGGCAATGTTGGAACAGCCTTTAGGGAATGAGCAAAGTAAGTTAAACATTTTATGTCGTCTTGGTTCTGTAGATCAAAATTCTTTGTAGCATATCTGCAAAATGAGTTTGTTTTAGTTAGGCTGTTCTTTTGCCTTTCACACACTGGAAACCTGTTCTACAGGGTGTTCCACTGAAGTGTGGAACACTGGCATCTAATTGCAGGGATTTATACAATAAGATCAACAAAGTGTCACTGTTGTTACAATGAATATAAACCCTGCCAAATTCTCCAACAAAATGTGCACTAACCTGTGAGATCGCATGCTTTTAGCTGACTGCTCTGTAAATACAGCTGAAGGGAAAAAAAGCAGTAACACTTCAGTACATTTTAAAAAGTCACACATTCCACTCCATAAAAGGGTGAATGCTTAAAATGTATGTCAGACTACATGGATTTGTGTTTAACTAGCAGCTGCTGTGTGTGTTATTGATTTGCTCAGTTTAAGGCTCTGTTGCTATTAAATATTTTGGTGGGTACGGACTCCCAGCCGCTGCATTGCGTCATTGCTTTTCATCTGTAGGGGCTTAACTTCAATTGAGCTCCAATTTCTAGCAGACACTGGGTGAGCCATTCCACTGCACTAGTGGCATTAGCTGTAAAGGAGATGTGCAACAGGGTATCTGTGCCATAACCCATGTCTCCTTACAAACTCTGCGAGCAGTTTCACGTGTACTTTGAACAAGAAGGGAATCTGAGTAAGAGCTCTGCAGTACCCTGCGCAAGCATGCCCTAGAGCTGAAAAACACTAGCTCCAAATCACTCTCTGGGCGTTCCTGTATAAAAAGGGGGACACTTAAGAGTGGTTCCATCCACTCTGGCAGAATGTTGACTGTATCATAAATAGGCATGTCAGACAGATCTAACAGTTAGCATGGGCGCATGGTCCTTGTATCACTGGTCAATGGCCTTCTGGCTATGGACTAGTTCATTCCCATATGTGGGACTGACCAGGATCAAGGAAATCTGAAGACTCCGAATCTCTGTAATCTTTCCCCAAAATGGGAGACGTGATACTAGCCTATAATTACAAGGTCATCAGTATGAAGTGATGACTTTAGTAGGGGCCTCACCCATGCCTCAGCGAGAGTGGCTGAGCACCCTATCCTCAGATGGACGCTGACAGTGTCCACCACAATGGGCCTATCCTCTTTGCCAGCCAAAAAGAAACATGGGTCCAGTTACCAGGTTGTGGCCCAAAGTGCCCGTAGCACTGCTCTAACTTCACTGACCATCACTAGCTTTAAATTCTAGCAGATAGTTTTGTCCCATTTGGACACTGATGAACACCTGCACCCATATCTATCCAATCAAAGCAAGTTTACAATAACACTCCTTGACTTTCTTAGAATAGTACACACACTCTCTCAAGTGAGCAGTTCTTCTCTCTCAGAATAACGTTGTGTTTGTCCTAAGTTGTCCCAATATCACTGGCATTAAAATCCTCCAAGGACTGGTCCAAATCCATGTTGTTGTTCTCAGATGCTGCTGATGTGTCTTGGCCTGTACAGCAAAGTAAACGTACAAACATGCACGTCCCTCTATGAATCCACTTGCTGCACATCTGAGCAGGCAGTAGATTTTTTTGATCTTCTGGCCTTCTGCACGCAGACATTACAATCTGTTTGCTGCGTTGTGATGAAACTGACCACTTCTCGCAGTCGAACCAAGGTGATCTGGAGCAAGGGTATGAGTCCACTTGGAACGTTAAGAGAGGCCAGCAGAACAGTATTTCCATGTTGCAGCAAAGATCATCCTTTATTTTTGCTACCCTTCAGGGATCTGTCTTATGGGTCAGATGGGAGGAGTTACCCTGAAAATCACACAAGTTTACATGGTGATATAGTATATTGAAACTTTTACGGGTATGAATACATTTGTCTGTCTGTGCTGATCACTTAGGTGTTTGTCAGTTGCATTAAATTATTACATAATATATTAAAATATGTTTTATCTGTGCACTCTGCAGATGACTCTTTCCCCTCTGTCACGGTTCTGATCCGTGGGGTGTCTGGAAGACTTGCGTGGGCCCAGCAACTTTGCCTTTTGCCAAGAGGAGCGAAAGCAAATCAAAAGGTCTCTATCAGAGCCCAATGGGAAATATGTAACATGCAGATGCTCAGCAGAAATTTCACTAAAATTGCAAAATAACCCACAGAATTGGTGACTGTATGTATGGCTGAGTCACAGTGCCCTTAACTGTGGGTAATGATACACATCTCTGGCGCTCTTTACAAATTTATTAACATACTAGAGTGTGAGTGTTGAACAAAAATGATGCTTACTTCTCAATTGTTTGTGTGTAAGGGCAACAGTCCCCGCATTGTTTGGAAAGTGTCGCATGAGGGGACTGTATATGTCCTTCAGTGTTCAGACATTAATAGTTTGAGTGGAGGTGATGCCATAGCTTCTGGGACTCTTGGCTCTTGTGAACATTTTCCAGCATTATGGTTTTGACATACATTTCTCTGGTTTTGGGGGATGACTGGAAATGGATTTATTACACTGAAACAACGACACAGACTGTGGTTGAAATTTGGGGCTGTCAGCCTCCTCTGTCCCTTTTCTATTTAGGTCACCTTCTTACAAATCCAAAAATATAGGGAACCCCCCAAGCAAAACTTAAATTGCTCTTAGCAGTCTACCCATGGCTAAGCAAGCTTTGGGGCAGCATATAATCCTTGTAATGCTTCTAAAGCTACCCTGGCACTTATGCAGATGTGTCCCTCAGTTAGGACATTTAATGGTATGGCAAGATAGTGAGGTTTGATAGAAACTATGGAAAGGTTCTCTTGGCATGTGAAATACTTGTTGGTGTCAGTGGGAGTGTATCAAGGATACAGCGCTGCTTACTGTTTAGCATTTTATACCTCTAAATTTAAAAAAAAAAGGCAAGCTAGTAATGTGGCGCTCCGGGCAACCCCAAAGACTCTTATCCTGCGTAGCTTATGTGGCAGTGTGTTCCCACTCAGACTTTGGGGTTTGGATAACTCTGGTGGTCATGAGGACCTGATCGTACTGCTGAGAGCAAAATACAGTAATTACACAGTTTCCACAGTATGCATCCGATGAAGTGAGCTGTAGCTCACGAAAGCTTATGCTCAAATAAATTGGTTAGTCTCTAAGGTGCCACAAGTACTCCTTTTCTTTTTGCGAATACAGACTAACACGGCTGTTACTCTGAAACCAGTAATTATAAGCTGTATGCAAGCTTCTTGCATACCTCAGCCAGTGAGTTCATCCTGACCTGCAGTATCCCTCCTGTGCAGCCCTGGGCTCATCAGCCTGACACGCAGCACCCTTCCCTGGTTTAGTCATACATTCAGTAGGGCCTAGGTGGAGACAATCAGAAATAATCTTTAGCTCTCTTTAAACATTTATTAGAATTGGTTTAACCTAAAACTAAAGCAACCCCAGAAAGGCTTGCAACTTTCATGTAATTGAATGGGATTGGTGGCGTAGAGATTGTGTTGAAAACCGGGGTTCATAGGTACCATGAGTCAAACCACCATAATGAGTAGGACTGAATATCAAACTTTGGTTTAAAACTTATAATCCTTACAAGTGAATAATATTTAGTTTTCTGAATGCTTTCTTAAACAAATAAATAAAGCCTATTGTTACCTGTGGTTATGAATCTGTGATATTGTGATAGAAATAATTTTCTTTGTGTATAATATAAATGTATTGCGCTACAGGACAAAGCATTTAAATTGGACATAAAATTGTTCCCTTCATTGTAACAGATGTTTTTACCAGAACCTCGACCTGCTCCTAAAAATGATGTTGGAATCAAATACAGTGTGAGACACCGGCCCTTTCCTGAGGAGGTGGACAAGATCCCCTTTGTGAAAGCTGACCTGAGCATTCCAGACTTGCATGAAATTGTTAATGAAGAAGTAAGAGGTTTTAGTCTTTGATTATTTCCTCTGTTCTTTGCCCATCAGCTTCAGAGTCCATTTGGTAAATTACACCCTTTACGTGGCACTTAACTCTAAAGCTTTCCTGTTGGAAAAGGTATTGTAGTAGAATGTTACCAACTTCCGTTAATGAGGTGACAAACTCACTGCAGCTTAGTGAAGTCTAGGAACTATCTAGGGATGATGGTAGGACCTGTGATATGACTCTACCTATTATTGGCCTATTGGGGAGCCCCACACAATTTGTTTTGCCCTAATCCTGACACACTATAATGACCTGAAGCAGTGACTTGTTTCCTGCTGCTGCTCCAGAGACAGAGGTTCGCACCTCTTCTGTCTTGTGAGAGCTCTTGTAAATGTGGCATTATTAGATTAGAGTGAAAAATGTGCTATTCTTCCAGCTCATTTGAAGGACAAATATTGGATATGTCGTTTGCCACAGTTGTCCTAAACAAATATGATACTGATCGGGGAGTTTCATGTCACATCCACTGACCCTCCTCCACATTGGTGGGACCTCACTACTCTGTGCTCCCATAAACATGGGGGAGTGTTCCAGGAACTGTTCAAACTTGTGGTTTGTTCCTCTGTGAACTAGCTAGGCAGGTGCTTTGAAATGCTGGGAAAGAGATGTTGCTGGAATCAGTATTCCATATCTGTGAAATAATGTGTTTCAGTTGGAAGAGCGGCATGAGAAGCTGAGGAATGGTATGGCCCAACAGATCACTTATGAGACATCTATAGATCAGCAGAGTGAAGAGGAGTGGCGCAAGAAGAGTTTCCCTGACCCTATTACTGAGTGTAAGCCCCCGCCTCCTGCCCAGGAATTCCAGACAGCACGCCTCTTCCTCTCGCATTTTGGATTTCTGTCATTAGAGGCACTGAAGGTGACTTGATATCTCCCTTCCTATTGCACAAATAATCTCAAACACCCCAATACCCTGTAGGACAAAACAGTGTCATTTAGCAGCTTTGCTAATGGAGTTTTCTCTTGTGTAAATATACTGCTGGAGCTAGTCACTGTTATGATAGCTGTGGTCTGCTACGATGTAGGGAAATGAACCCCTGAACGTCTCAGGAGTTCTGGAAGCCAGGGGTATAGCGGTCTAATGCTTCAAGCTTTGACTGAAGAGCTCTAAGCTGGTTTTACAAAAGGTACCTCAATTGGGATAATTACATATTGTGACCTTGAAATTCTTCCTGCAATTTCAGTTGGATGCCATAGTGGCTTTCAGCCCTAAACATTTCTGTAGGATTGCAGTATTCTGTTAAACAGATCCAGTTATCCATACATATATGGTTTGTAAGTTGTTACATAAAGCACTTTTGGATCCATATAATGGAAACACTAGCTAAATGTACAAGTTATTTTATGAGTTAGTACAGATAATCCAATTTTCAGATGGAAACACTGCCTCCTGCTTTTGGTCTCTCTATATCTCACCGTGGAGTTTGTCTCTAGCTCTGTACAGACTGTCAACAAACCGAGAATTGAGCTGTTGCAGAAATAATAATCACAAGAAGTACTTAGTGATTTCTTTCTTCCAGATGGTCTGCAAAACAAAGTGCATGTGGAGTTAAGCACAGTGTTTGTGTGCTACAAGTCCTCACTAGCCTGGGTGTGGGGGAAAGCATTAATATTAAAAAGTTCAAAATTATTTCTATCATTTCCATTCAGGGAAATCTCTTGGTTCTTCTAGAATTTCTTTTGTGAACCAGGGACACAGTGACATCAAATAGTGCAAGCTTCTTTGCAAAACCATACAAAACAAGGCTTTTGTGGTGTCACATTTATGTCATGTTAGAAATTTAAGTTACGGTTTTGATCTTATTTAGAAAAAAAATGCATTTATTATGGTCAATGTATTTTAAAATGATTCATACTGAAACCATCAAAGAACATTACTGGTGGAAAGGGGTTTTTTTAATAGTTAAAAATTTGAACTTCTTTATTTTCTGGGTAGGAAACTGCTAACAGCCGTCTACCTCCTCATCTGATTGCACTTGACTCCACTCTCCCTGGGTTTTTTGATGACCTTGGTTACTTGGATCTACTGCCATGTCGTCCTTTTGATACAGTTTTCATTTTCTATATGAAGGCAGGCCAGAAAACAAGCCAGGAGGTAGGTGAAAAATTGGAGCACTGATTGGTCTCAGTTTGTCTTTGCTTCATTTACCTCTTAGTTATATAGCAATGTGGTCTAATGGCTGGAGCAGAGGACTGGGACTCAGGATTCTTGGCTCTGCACTGTGTTGCTGTGTGGTCTCCAACAAGTCACTGTGCTTTGTTTTTCCTCTGTAAAATGAGGAGAATTACTAGTTATGTTTGCCAAAAGGATTAATAATGCTTTGTTATCCAGTACTGGTCTAAATGTATAGACACCTGTCTGCAGAACCTGATGTTAAAGGGACACTTTCAAGGTTCACAGGCCCAACGTACGACCAGTACCATAACTTGTTCCAGTGGTGTGCAAAGACCAAGTCGTTTGCTTTTGTAGGCTTTCATTTCAAACAGAAATGTCAATGAATTGGAAAACTAAATGTACAAGTAAAAAGGAGTTATTGCTTTGTAAAGTATATGTTGCACTGACTATACTTGTTTGCGTTCAAACGTTATCAGTAGTGAGAGTATCAGTGTAGAGGACTGCAGAGCCAAACAGCGACATCCTTGCATCTGAACTGTAGCTTGGAAACCCACTATTCTAAAAGAGAGTGTATAAATTCATCATAAGGAGACATTTTTATAGTGCCTTCCCCTCATTCCCTGTGTACTCCACACTGTACGTAGTGTAAATGTAGGTGTCTGTCACAGAACTAATTAATTTACTCCAGGCACCCTCTCCACATCTTAGAAGCTTGGAAATGTTTAGCTAACAAAATGCAGCACAACCTTGTTTATCTTAAACGCACGGGTGGAACGTATTGTTACTGTTACCTGAAGCCAGGATCATGCCACCTGACAACCTTTCAGATAAGTGATGTTTGGGTGTCGAAAGCCTGTGCAGCTGGCTTTTCCCAGGCCAGACATCTTAGTATGATAAAATAGGGCTAAGGCATGTAAGTTAAAGTACCTTATTCCTGCTGAGCCAGCTGCTCTGATCCATGCATTTTTATGGGCTTAGGCAAATAAAGATTTCTTAGTAGAAACCATAATCCTGCAGAGCTGGACAGCCTTCAGGAGCCCAACCAGCAGTCTATTATTGTGGGGTCAGTCCTGTAGACTTTGACGTCTGGTGGTAAGGTAGGAGGCCCTGAGCACATTGTTTCAGACTCTGTATTGCTGGTACCCCCAAATTATCCAAAGGTTTTGGGTATTCCCTGAGGTCTTCAGGTAATGTACTTGATTTCCTGAATCACCTAACGTGCACTAAGTCATGTGATCAAAGCCAAGTTAATAAAAAATGCACTACTGTTCCTATCTCCACAGGACTGAACGGGAGGTGAGGAACTCAGGGTATTTCCCACTTTCTAAAAGTACTGAGATTTAATTTTTATGGTGTTTGCACTGACCGTAATCACCTTAAGATCAAATGTAACCCCTTCTCCAGTGTTATCCAATGCTACCCTAGATGAGTGGCTGAGCCCTATCTGCAGAGGGACAAGATCAGAGCAAAGACCAAGTGAAGTTTATTGCCTCTGAAATGCTAGCTGGCTGACACTATCCAGTTGTTCTTACTCTCTACAGCAAGTGAAGGGAGCTCTTTGAGCTAGCTGGAGAGGGTTTTTTTTCTGTTCTTGGGGCGAATTTACCCCCTTCAAACTTGTTGCTTCTGTCAGGTTCTGAGGGAGGACAGGTAGCAGCAGCTCTGTTGGCCTTCCCTCCGGGTGAATCAGCCTTGCATCGTAAGAGGCCGGGATGGCATATAACTTATTCCTCTCTTCACCAGCTTCATTGAAATTGTCCCATGGTTTGTCTTTATGGTAGCCATATCCTCTTTTCAAATAGCACAATATAAAATTGTTTCTGTAGCCTTAGATACACATGTCCCATTTGCAGCTCTGACTCCTTCTCTGATTGCACCACTACAAGTGTTAGGCCTCATACTGTTTCCTTTCCTGGGGTGGAAACCTGTGATTCTCCCACTCCTAGATTGTGTCTTAGGCTACAGTACCCTGTGCATTAACCATGTTTGTCCAGCAGGTCCAACTGGACTCCCTCTCTACAGTTTTTCCGTTTTGGAGTGTGTAAATAGCAGTAAATCAGTGACTCCAAACAGCTTCTTAAAACAAAGTATTGTTTAATCTTAACAGTAGGAACAAAGCAGAATATAAGAGAAAAGGTTTTGAAACAACAAAGGCCTACCACATCCTCCTTATGGGGACCCTGCTAGGTGTAACTTCCCTTAGCCTCTGGAGTCTGGGTTCACCTTTCCCCTCCCTGAGAGTCTCTCTTAGTTCAGGCCAAAGTTCTCTCCTCCAGTATTTTCTGAGCCTGGTTAAACCAGTTTGGGTAACTCAGCAGGAACACTTGTGTGTGTGGGGGGGGGTAGTAATGTTAGAGTCAATAGTCCCAGGAGTTTGCTGAGGAGCAGTTATCTGGGCTGTTGTCCTCCTTCTTGCCCACATTTCTTGATCATCCTGCTATTGAATTAACCCCATATGCATACAGTAAACATTCCAATATCCCAGGTCACATGCAGTATTCATGGACTGTTACAGAACAGCTTTGAATCTATCGTAATGCACACATAGCATCTTATAGTACTGTACAACACAGCACTGTACACACGCAACAAAGTCCTTGAAAATCACTGATACAAAAACTACCCAGAAAAAACATATTGTAGCAGTGTGCTACGGGGGCAGAATAGTAAATTGAAGTAGTAATGAGCAGCATTATGTGCTGGCATATGTTAGGGGGTTGTAATCCCCTTTCTCTAAATATATTATTTAATTTTAAAATTTTATGATTCATTTTAGGCAAGTATGCAACCAGTCCAAACTGCTGAATAGAATTGAAATATTTAGGAATTGGAAATACCTACACTTTTATGTCCTCTTAAGGAAAAATTAGCTTTCACTTGAGTCTGTGTACAGCTTCTATATACCATTTCTCCCATGGATTTATAGGTACATATCAGCAATTTAAAGTGTATTCAGTACTTTTTGAAAGAAAATTATGCAGTTTGAATCATTGTGTAAGAACAGGTTCCATGAGAAATACATTGGGTAAACAGCTGCATAAAGGTACACTAAAATAGGACATTGCTGAGAAACAGTATGTTACTACATTGTTTTTCAGCGGTCGGTCTGTATCAAAAGAAATTTTTGTGTGACTATAGTCCATATGTAGTAACAGAACCATTAAAATATATGTAAAGTCTGTGTCGTTAAAACCTGATCTTCTGAGTTGCATTTGCTTGCCTAGTTGTGGTATGGAAGTAGTGTATCTGACCACCCATGTGCAAATGTGTCTACAATTCTGAAACTCTGAACAAATCTGGGGCACAGAGATAACAATGTATTACCAGATGCTACACACTTCAGACAAATAGCAGTTTTCCAACCTAACTGGTCTTGTGTCCCATCTTTATGGGCAGGGCTGTTAGTACCCGTGATCTTCTTTCGCCTTTTGGTAGAGCCTCACATGTGATGTAATTATTTATCCAGGCAAATGGAAATGGCCGCATAATAGCTATTTTTTAAAAATAGCCACATAGTTATGCTCCAGAATGTAAATTTTCCTTAAAAACATCTCTAGCCTTATTTAGAGCTCTGAAGATCAGCCTTTCTAATGTGAATGAGATCTAAACCCATTCAGCTGTGTATGCCTAAGTTTGCAGATGGCCCAGAACAATACTTCTGAGACTTGTGAACCCTCATATCAATGCAGCTGAACCATAACCAAACACTGAATGTTATCATTAACTGTCTCACTACTGACCATGTTAACAAAGCCTTCCATGTAATGTGTGTATCCATTGTTGGATAGGGTGAAATGGGGCTCTTGGGATGGGTGGGTGCAAGGAGGCTCTTACTGACACTGTAAGCACATTGTTCTGGTTGTATAGTCCCTAGCACACTGGGGCCCTGTGTGCTGGTGCTGTATGAATACTGCAGACCCTTCTTGCTCCATATTTAAAGTCCTCTCTCCCATGTCCCAGGAAGGAGAGAGAGAGATGAGCTTCATCCCCCTCCTTCTTCAGGAGACCTAACCGTCTCCTATGTGCTAAACACCACAAGTGCCTCCTACCCCTTCCTGCCTGCAAAAGCTCCACAGTCTCCTACATGCTTTTCAAAACCTCCTCCCGACCTCAGTGATACCTAAAATGCAGCTCTTTGTGCGTTCTATAAAAAACCTGTGGGACTGGGCGTGGAGGGGAGAGTAAAACTGAACTCGGACTCAAAATAACGAGACGTGGCAGAATTAGATTTTTATGTATAGTTTTGGTGGATAATATCAGTATTTATTTTTAAGCATTTGTAAAATAGATTTAAATTTTCACAGTTGCACAAAATTAAGCATTTTTAGCATTTTTGTAGTGTTTTTCTTTTTTTACATTTTCAGTTGCGGGCAATTAATGGGTGGGTTCAGCCAATAATAATTAAATGGCAGCAGACATTGAGATTCAAAAAAGTTACACCTTTATAACCATTAAAACACCCATTGTCAACATATCAAAATACACAATGTAAATATCCCTAAATCAGACAGAGTTCTCAAGCAGCATTTTTCTTGCTTTGCCTGACTGTAAATTTCAATGATCTATGGAAATATTTTTTCATCAGTTTGTGTGCATGGTGGAAGTTTACTGATTTAAAAATCTAATCCTTCCAATCCCAAGAATGAGCAAGGAACTTCATACTGATGATACAGCACAGGATCAGGAGGCGAGAGTGAAAGGGACATGTCTGTAGGTCCTGCTGCATTATTTTCAGTCTAATGTGCTGTGTAAGACATGGGGCCTTGCCTTTATATCACTGTTCAGATTTCATCCAGGTCAGCAGTGGTTAATTGGCACCAGACATCTCTGTGCCTCAGTGCTGCAATGAGATTTGCACAGAAAGACCCCAGAACTAAGTGAGGCTTTGTGTTGGCTCAGAAGTCTGTTCCTGATGCATTCATTACAGGATTAAGGCCCTGGGACCTGTGTGGAATGAGTGGGAAATGTCGGTGTTGCCCAAAACAAAGCCAACAAACTCATCAACTTGTAATTGGCTCCCTCAGTCTCAGCAAAGAGAAATGAAAGAGTCAGGGAGACTGAACTATTGTCACTCAGAGAGAGAGAGAGAGGTTCTTTAAAACCAGACTGAGGCACCTGAGTAACGTGGCCAAGGCTGTACTGCTCTAGGTATGATTAGAGGACGTTTTGTCAGCACCACATTTGCTGTATAGAAAAATTCAGTGAAAACTGCCGCCTCCAGCTCTCTGTTCATATTGTGAATTGGAATATGTTGCAGATTCTGAAGAATGTAGAGTCTTCCAGAAATGTTCAGCCACACTTCCTAGAATTCCTGCTGTCTCTTGGCTGGGCCGTAGATGTGGGAAAGCACCCTGGTTGGACTGGTCATGTTTCAACAAGTTGGTCCATTAACAGTTGCAGTGATGAAGAGGGACCTGAGCAAGGTAAGATCTGGTACTTGTTTAGTGAATTGTAACTCTGTGGCTCTTTCAGAATGCACAGGCTGTTGAAATTTCTTGCTTCGGGATGTACTAATTCCTTGGAGCACTATAAATCTTGTTTCTTTCCATATAAGTCTGCCTACATTTGCTAATATTTGGTGTACAGCTTTTATTATACCCAAGACTTTTTTTTTCTTTTTAATTATGCTATTTATTTAAAGTTAAGTCTGAAGTGCACAAACCTGAAGTACAGAACAATAATGTTCTTGTGTACAGTTGGGAGGAGATATTGAGTCAGGTCAATTCTGCATCCATGCCTGTTCCATATTTTAATTAACAATATGGAGGGTGGAGTTTAATGTGATGTGATACAAGCAAATATTCAGATAGAATCAGAGGTTTGACATGTGTCTCAGTGCACAGGATGTACTGTGCGACTTGAGAAACTGACTGTAAATATATTAAATTGAGATTTGATCAAGATAAACTTAAAAGCAGTTCATATAGAAAGGAATAGCAAAAATATAGACTAGGGTAATATTGGCTACTCAGAAGTACCATATAGGAGTGTCAAACTCGTTATAACGAGAGGATCGGATTCCATGTTTAATTATGGTCCATTGGCCAGGATATAAATTCAGGACTTCATACTCCCTTAGTTCCCACACTGCTGTCAGTGGGTGTTTGAAGAGAGAGCACTAGGAGAATGCAGCCTATATGTATCAGAGGAACAGCCGTGTTAGTCTGTATTCGCAAAAAGAAAAGGAGTACTTGTGGCACCTTAGAGACTAACCAATTTATTTGAGCATGAGCTTTCGTGAGCTACAGCTCACTTCATCAGATGTTTACCGTGGAAACTGCAGCAGACTTTATATACACACAGAGAATATGAAACAATACCTCCTCCCACCCCACTGTCCTGCTGGTAAGCTTTTACCAGCAGGACAGTGGGGTGGGAGGAGGTATTGTTTCATATTCTCTGTGTGTATATAAAGTCTGCTGCAGTTTCCACGGTAAACATCTGATGAAGTGAGCTGTAGCTCACGAAAGCTCATGCTCAAATAAATTGGTTAGTCTCTAAGGTGCCACAAGTACTCCTTTTCTTTTAGCCTATATGTAGTAATTATGTTTAATATTTAGTCCCTTATTGTAACATTCAGTATCATTCAGTGAAAAAATTGCTGCCTTTAGGCCACTGCTATTGCTGCCCTCTCTCTCCTCCTCTTTTTTTTCTTCCTTTTCCTTTCTTTGTGAGAGTTCTTTGTTCTTCATTCTGCTTTTCTTCCTAGCAGCAACTCTCACTTCCCTGCTGGCTTCATTCCCATCCATTTTCCTGTTCTGTCAGCTCAAATGGTCAGCAATGCAGTGTGGAGGCTGACGTATTCTTGGGCTTTAGTGTTGGTGCTCCAATGAGATGATTGGAGAACGTGGCAGTTCACACCCCTCAGAGATATTGTATCAGGCTATCCAGAGACTTTGGTAGACATCGGTGTGCTGGTTTACACTTGGTTCACCTTTGGAAGGTTTTCTTTGCAACTGTGATGGCTCAGACCATTTCTTTAAATGTAAAGGCAAGATTCTGGGGAGCCTAAATGTCATGAGAGCCACAAATATATCATCCAGGCTGGATCTGGTCTGTGGTCTATATGTCTGACAGCCCTGGTACAGAGTTTAGATGAGTTGATAACTGAGTGGCCAACCATGCAGTGTTGCAAAAAGGCTAGTATTTTTATTGGGCTGTTGTAATAGCAGTATCAAACAAGTGAGGAAACTATTCTGCTCTGACTAGGCCATAGTTGGAATCTTGAATTCCAGTTTCGCCACCACATTTCAGTCAATAGAGATAAATTGGAGACCACCAGAGGAAAGCTATTAATGATGAAATGAGTGGGCAGGTTTAGAGAGCTGAGGGCATTCATTCAGGGGAGGAAACATAGCTGTCCACAAATATCTGAGGGGAGACTGCAATATGGCCAGGGATTAATTGTACTCTTAGTAAGCAAGTACGGAAGGGGATAAGTAGGCAATTTTAAAGATTGCCATGGCTGTGGTTGTTGCATGGTAATAACTAGATTTGAGTGTGCACTTCGGCTTTCATCTTAACTTCTTTCTTTTACTCCTTTACCCCAGGTGAGTCCTGGTGCTTGCAAGTCCTTTACTGGTGAAGTGCATAAGGAGTTGTGAATCTCTTTCTTTTGGCTTAACTTTTGTTTCTTCCTTCTCAGATGAAATTGTTTCTTCAGAAGACACTGGACCGAGCATATTCAATGGGCAGAAGAAGGTTCTGTATTATGCTGATGCCCTTACAGAAATAGCATTCGTTGTTCCCTCCCCAGTGGAGTCCTTAAGTAAGATCACTGTATACATGCCATGTGTGTTTTTAAAAACACTTTGTTTACATAGCTCTTCTTTGACCCAGGCCTGTGTTAACAGAGATAATTTAATATTTATGTTACTGGCGCACCCAGAGGCCCCAGTTAGAAACACAGCCCCAAATACAGATTCTTCACTAAATAAATGGGGGGGAAGGATCAAATCAGCAGTGTCAGTTGTAAGTGATTTGTTACAAAATTGGTTCCTAAAATGTATAATAAAAAGAAAAATCCTGATGTGGCAATATCATCTATTTTCCCACTCCTTCGTATGATGGAGCCCAAGCCTTGAGCGGCCAGTCAGGTTTTCACTGCAGGAGTGCAGTCTCCTGAGCTTGTCGTAGAATAGGGGATGGCAGCCCCTGCACCGCGGCTGTGATTCCAATATGCACCTGTCTGCTGAGCTCGTGAGTTCAGAGCAGCTCTGCAGGCAGTGGATTGCTTTGGGGGGGCGTTTCTTGGATAATGTGCCCCTAGGACGCGCCTGGAGAAATACCTGCTTAATTATGCGCTCCAAGAATTAGAGCATTTGCTAACCCTTTACCCCAAAATATGCAGTGGAGTCGCTCTTGGATCAAAGGGTGGTTGTGCTGTTGTCTGCACTGCCAGATGTCCCTCCCCTCCCCTCCCCTCCCCCTGAACACACCTTGTCTCTTAGCTCCTGTTGGCCCAATCTCCAGCTTCTCTCTCTCGGGGGTCCCTTTAGATCTCTCCTCCAGTCTGTTGTTCCCACTCCACCGGAGCATGCATACATACGCATGCTCTTCCCTCTCCACCCAAACCTTCCTCCCCATGCTCTGCTAACTACAGTTTCACTTAATCCAGCTGCCACACCAACCAACCCTGCCCATTCCATCCAGCTGTTTCTCTGCTGCGCCCCAGTACCCAGATGAAATCTCAGATGAATTCAGAAATGAGAGAATGCTAGACTTGGAGGGTGAGAAATCGTACTGCATAGGAAACATGAAACCTAATGGGACATTGTCAAAAGCAGACCCCCCCCATGCCTAGTGATCTTAGCTTCTCTCAGTTTCTAGAGCTCCCAGACTCACTGGCAGGGCATTCTCTGAGAGGGGCCCTGAATTTTAGAGCTCACGCTAATTCACCACCCTCAGAATCCTAAATAGGTAGGTCTCTTGACCTTCAGGTCTCACTGGAAATCTAGTATTTTGAGATTTATATAAGTATATGGATAGGCACTAACTCTGTTTTATGTAAATGTAATAAATAGTGAAAGAAAATCCTGTATGTGTTGCAAATACAATTTGCAGTGTTAGAACAAAAGGTGGCAAACCGACTGCTAGCTTTGGTCAAGTATCACTTACGTTTTGCTGACCAAAGTTTTGAATGTGGTGAATGGTCTTCTCTTTACCATCTGGGAGATGGACTCTTGCCACACATGGCTGTTGAAAAATGGAGGAGGGGGGAAGAGAGTGCTTGGATCTGTTGTTAACTAGGATTGTCAAGGTCTCCTGTTTTGTGAAGGCAAAGGGCCAGTCAGTTTAGAGTCTGCTCAAGATACCATCTTTCCTGATGTCAAGCGTGGTCTACTTCCTCCTTGTCTAGAAAACTGCCAAGGAAAAGGGTGGATGATCAGGTTAGCAGTGACTGGCTAACTTTACTGTCCTCTAGTTTCCTACAGTTTCTTTGTCCCTTATCAGTCTGGCTTGAGACTTGAGCATAACTTCAAGACTGCAGAGAAATCTATGGTTGTTGATTACCTCCTAATGAAGGACAAGGGTCATGTGTCATGGTAGTCTTATTAGATTATTCAACAGCCTTTGTTTCTGTTGACTGAAGTGTTGACTCTGTGGAACTGGCTGGGGTTACTAGCTTAATGACACACCGGCTAGAGGGCTCTGTAAAAGGCAAGTGCTTCTTTGAAACAAGCTTTTGATATTTTTCTCTTATCATTCTTCTGCACACCCTTGGTTGGATTTGGAATGTTTTTTCCCCACCCTGTCCCATTTTTAGCAATATGTGTAGCATTGCTGTGTACTCTGAGTAATCATGGGCATATTTAACTTCAGAATCTTAAACTTCACCTTTTTTGCCAGAAGGAAAACATTCTTTCCTCTTCCTTTTGGCTTTCAGCTGATTCATTGGAAAGCAATGTCTCAGACCAAGAAAGTGACTCTAACATGGATCTTCTGCCTGGGATACTAAAGCAGCCATCTCTGACACTTGAACTCTTCCCCAATCATACAGACAATCTCAATTCCTCGCAGCGGGTAAGGCAACATATCATTTGCAGCAAAGGGCTGTATTGTGTGCAAATTGTTGTGTTTCTACAGCAAATACAGTAGATGTTTATAGCACTGATATTTGTAATCCAGCTTTTTAGTATTTGAAACTCTTCATCAATAGGCCTTAGTGATTATTAACAGCAATCTGGAGTCTCTGTTCTGATTTTGTTGATGCCCACAGTTGCAATAGCAGTAGGAGATTGCTGTGTCATAGTATTTATATACATATTTAAAATCCTACGGTTAGATTAAATATTCTAACCCTTGGTCTACATCCCAAACTCATGAAACATGTCCAAAGAAAACTGGCATGTCGTACTTATGAAACCGGTTAGAATCTAACACATATTGTAGAAATTCAGAATGGACCAGTATGTATTGAAATTGCAAAGTTTTCCCACCTGCTCTGTTTAAAATCCCATGTTAGTTACAGTACATGTGTAAAGTTCAAGGTGCTGAGTCCTGCAGCAGCAGCTGAAATTACAAGCATGGAAGAGTTCTGTTTATGGTGGGTACAGAACCAATCCTGTCATAACTTTGTAAGTGAAGGATTTGTAGAAACTACACATTTCTTATATGAAACATTGGCCCAAAGTCTAAACGTGTTGTGACAAAGTTCCTCCTCTACCTTGGTGGGTCTTGCGCTTTTTGGCGGATTTGCTCACCTTGGAGCTTCACAGCAGCCCTCAGTTTGGCCGTTTTCATGAACCCACAGTCCAGGTCAACTCCTCCTGTGTCTGACCATGAGTTGGGAGGTTTGGGGGGAACCCAGGCCCGCCCTCTACTCCGGGTTCCAGCCCAGGGCCCTGTGGAATGCAGCTGTCTAGAGTGCCTCCTGGAACAGCTGTGTGACAGCTACAACTCCCTGGGCTACTTCCCCATGGCCTCTTCCCAACACCTCTTTTATCCTCACCATAGGACCTTCCTCCTTGTGTCTGATAATGCTTGTACTCCTCAGTCCTCTAACAGTCTGCGTTCTCACTCTCAGCTCCTATTGCCTCTTGCTCCCAGCTCCTCACACACACACCACAAACTGAAGTGAGCTCCTTTTTAAACCCAGGTGCCCTAATTAGCCTGCTTTAATTGATTCTAGCAGCTTCTTGATTGGCTGCAGGTGTTCTAATTGGCCTGTCATCTTAATTGTCTCCAGAAGGTTCCTGATTGTTCTGGAACCTTCCCTGTTACCTTACCCAGGGAAAAGGGACCTACTTAGCCTGGGGCTAATATATTTGCCTTCTGTTACTCTCCTGTAGCCATCTGGCCCAACCTTGTCACAGTACATTCAGTTACTGATTTGAGACCTTAAACATTTTAAACAAAATTTCTTGATTCTGCTTTAAGGTATATATTGCATTAGCTGATAAAACATATGATGTAACTAATTGCAATTGCCTTCCATGTATATTTGTCTGCAAAGAACCTTTCTTTATGTAAGGCAGTAGCATATGAAACTTCCATCTTTAAACTGGTCTGACTTCAGTGGTCCCTTAGGTCTCTAGTTCCCTGAGTCAATGAGAAGCACGGGGACTTCAATCTGACATGTTTATCCACTTAAAAACAAATGCCTGCTAAACATGCCGCTTTGTGAGTACCTCATACAGAGAGCCTGTTGTCGCTGCAGTAACTAAAGCCTAGAAGCAGATGCAATTCTTCCTTGCCCTTTGGAGGCTGGTCATCGCAGGGGGAATTAGGGCAATATGAGGAGGAAGAATATGTCCTTCCTAATGAGTAGAGCTGTATAATTATTCTGATCCTGGAGTTAGGAAATTTCCACATTTGTCATCATTCCACACACAACCAGAATGGGAGGGGATGGGGACAGGCAATTTTTTTACCCCAACTGTACTAGTTGTTGTCAGTGTGTCAATTCTGTCCGGATCCAGTCGCCTTAGTTTATGAGAACTGACAAGGTAACAGGCTAGAAGCTTAGGTAAGTGATTGTTACATTTATTGCAGCATATATTCCAGGGCACAAGACTTGGCCAAACTGGAGCTTAGGTAGAGACAGTAAGCAAACATTATAGTTTGTGTTTTTAAAACCATTAGAAAGCCTGGACATTCTAAGTTAGGGTTAAATTTTGTGTTTTTCTGACCCTAAACCCCCAGTTCTCTTCAGATGACATTGCATCTCCTCAAGGACTCTTGAATTTGACAAGTTTTGAAGTTTCCTGACTGACCATTTTTGAGAGATAATGTGACCAAAAACATTATTTTCAAAAATGTGATCTGTCTTCTAAATCTCCAAATATCACAAACAGCCTGAAAACTTTGAAAATAAAAGCACATGTTTCTTGGCTAAAGACAGCATGTGCAAACTTTCAGGTCCAATTAACCTTTTAAAGGTATTTGAAGGGGAGGACTAGAATCAAAATGCGCTTCATAAAGCCCAGAGCCAGTAAACTGATCCATGTAGATAATAGAACCCCATTGAAGTCAGTAGAGCTTTTTGTGGCTGCAAGGGTCTGCCTGTCTGCCCACCCGCACAGATCAGATTGCAGCAGTGGGCCCTGAACTAGCTGCAACCATAACTATGGAGAGATGTCTGAATGCTATGACCAGGGACAGTCGATCTCTGGCAAGATTATTCCTGACATTGTCTGTTCTGCATGGCACTATCTGCTTTTAGAGTCTCATACCCCAAACCCTGAATGATGAGGGTCCATTGATCAGTATTGTCTTGATGCTGCTGGATGTATTTCTATAGAAAATCACTAACCCCTGCCTACCACAATGAGGGATCAACATCTGCCTAATATTACTGTCTAAAAATAATAGGGTAAAAGTAGTGTTCGTATGGTCAGTTATCCAAATTAGTGAGACGGAGAAGACTTTTTTTGCATGTTTTTTCACTTGCAGCCTTATTACGATAGAATATCCTTTCAAATGAAGGATCACCAAGATGTGTCAGGTTTATCCAACTTCATTGGAACAGGATAATTCTGGTACAATCAGCAGTGGTAAGATTAATGTTGACAACTAGGCAATTATATCTACTAGGCTGTGTATTGATGCAGTGACTGAATACAAATATCTCAAACCACTGAGAAATAGCTGCCAAGGAGCTACTTCCCAGTGGCTGGTCACAAACAAGTGTAGGTCGTATGACATCCAGAGTGTGGCACATGATAGGAGAGGGAAATGTGAAAGACTAGCTTGGTGCCAAGACCTCCTGGTGATCTTGACCTAGATGCTTATTGTATGAATCCATGGAATAGGCCCATTTTACTGCCTTCTCTCCTTGGTGATCTCAGTGTAATATTGCAGCTGTACTACCAGCTGCTCCAAGTATGATGAGAACTCTGCCGCCTCCTCCAGCTCATGTGTCTGCAGATTCCAGGCTGTTGCTATCTCCATTTACATTTGGATGACTGCCTTCAGGAACCTGAAGGGCTAGATACTCTTACATAAAAACATTGTTTCCCTAAGAAACACAATTGGCAGGTAACCCTGGGGAGAGCGCGCACACACACCCACCCACACACACATGCACCCCGAATTGATGGAATTTTCCAACTGGCTGCCTTATGTTTTCCTTGCTCATAACTTAGTTCAGAACAAAATCTCTTCTAATGTCCAAAGCACTCAATGGCCAATGACCTCTGGGCACCCAACTTCCCTTGAAAGTCCATGGGAGTTGCAAGTCCAATTGCCTTTTATGCGTTTGAAAATATCTCCCTCCACTGTTACAGGACTGTGTGTGTGTCTGTTTGAAAGGTTAAAATAAAACCATTTGGGTTTGATAGGCGAGAGGTGTCAAACTTTTTTTAACAGGTGTGAAATATTTTTCATATCACTCCTTTGCCTTCCTAGCACCTTTCATTATAGGATCTTAAAGTATCTTAAAAACCTTGAATCTGACTGTCTCTGAGCAATGCCCTTGCACAGTGGAATCAATGAGGCACAAGAGGGTAACTTGAGCGAGTGGCACACCAGTAAGAGAACTAAAAAGGTCTGATGCCCATTCCCTGGCTCTTCCTTCCTTCCTCCACACTTCTGTGGTCATACTCTAGTGACTAAAATAAGTTTGACTGCCTTTTGCTCCCATTAGCACTGCCAATCCCCTGTAGCTATGGGAAAAGGAGCTGGATTCTGCTGTACACATCATCCCCAGCATTCTGAGCTGCGTTCCCATTGCAGCATCAGATTCTACCTTAAGTTACTTACAGCTGTGTCTGTTTTCAGTGGGGCTGATAATGTGTAAACTGATGGCAGAATCTTTGATTTTTGTGAGCCAGAAAGAACTCTGGTCAGCTTTCAATTCCAGAATGAGTTTGCAATATAGGGAATTAAGAAAAATCTTTTTATTTGTTAACTGAGCAAATTTGCTGTGGAGTCGTTGAGACAAGAAAGATACAATACCCCATTGCCGTTTTCAGAGCAGCATCATAGCTTGTGGGCTGCAAAGAATGATGTGTAGGCTTCCATAATAGCACAGGAGTATGTCACAGTGTTTATATGCATGAACCAGGATGTTAGTTCAACCAGTTGAACTCAGACAATAGCAACAAAGTAAATGGAGAGATGTTCATCAACAGATTTCAGTGTTAACCTCCCAAGCAATAAAAATAAGTGTTATAAACCAAGTGTGAAAAACCCCCCAAATCACGGCTTATAATAGGCTGAAAACTACCCTGAAAGCTGTAGCCTAAACAACAGCAGCTCCATCTTGTGGCTGTCACATGTGCTTCCTAGTGGTGCACCTCTGGTCTCTCTGATGTCCAAAAATGTCTTAAGAGTGACTACAGTATTGTTGCTTGTTTAAATGTTTAATTTAATTTTCATTGTTTTGTAAATGCCACTGTACTCTACTCGTCTTCAAAACAGCTCAGTCCTACTTCCAGATCAAAGAAGTTGCCTCAGGGCCGGACCATTCCACCAATGGGACCTGAAACCAAGGTGTCTGTGGTCTGGGTTGAACGTTATGATGATATAGGTGTGTAGAACTTCTGCTTTTTATAATGAATTAATGTAATAACAGGGCCAGTAACTGAGTTGTATGTGAAATATTTTATTAAATAGAATTTTGTTTTTAGGTAAATAGTAGATTGTGATTTACCACTGTAGTTTGCATTTAAATTATCTAAACTTAGTTGTTTTGATATCTGTCTAAATTTGTATAAGTGAATACTTAACCTGTACTGTAAACCTCTTTTTCTTCCAGAAAACTTTCCCCTCTCTGATCTGGTTTCTGAGACCAGCACTGGTGTAGAAACTACATCAAATAGTAGCACTTCCCTAAGGTATGACTTCGAATTTCTTTTCATTACAATTTTTCTACTTTTTGCGAGCAATCGCTTATGTGGGGCTTCAAAATAGTTCCTGACTGGCTACATTAGCTTTGTTCAGTTTTCTTAAGACAGCTGCATGAGAACGACGTCAAAGATGCGGTCTTGTTCAGAATGATTCAGTGAGGTTCTTCACGTGGTTTTTCAGTCTTCCTTTTTCTCTGGCCACTAATGAAAGGACTCTTCTGTTGCAGGGGTTAGACTATGAGGCTGGGAATCAGACAATTTGGGGTTTTCTCTCTGGCTGTGTGACCAGCCACCGAACCCTCTCGACTTCTGTTTTACTCACTTATAAAATGGCTTAAAACTTATTAAATTGGTGTCTGCAGCACTTTGGAATCTTGTCACAGAAGGAGATCTCTAAACGCTGCATTCTAGGTGATCCCACCATTCTTAAGTACAGATCACAGGACAGTAGAAACTCTTATTGGCCAGGCTCACGGGCACCTTTTTGCTGGCGTCCTAAAAGGTTGTGACACTTTCAGCAGCTATGTGGTGTACAATGTGATTGACCATCTCGCACAAAGAAAAGCTTGTTTTATTTACCGACCATTTCTGAGTGTTCTTGCTAAGCACATTGTCTCCTTTCCCCTTCCCTTAAATGTTCTCTCAAAATACTGTCTCTGTGTTACTAATTTAACAAGTGGTTTGGTTTTTTTCTTTAGATCAACCACTCCTGAAAGAGAAGTTCCTGTGGTTTTCATCCATCCCTTAAACACTGGGTTATTCAGGATAAAAGTGCAAGGCGCTACTGGGAAATTCAACATGGTCATCCCCCTGGTGGATGGAATGATAGTTAGTAGGAGAGCTCTTGGTAAGTTCTGTTTTGTGAAAGGGTGTATGTGGGAACCTAGTAGTGCCTTTGCTATCTGACTGTTCAATCATCTTTCTTTTAAATCTTCAAATATCACAAACAGCCTGAAAACTTTGAAAATAAAATGATGATTTTAGCCACTTCTCCTCCCACTGGGGCTCCCCCATGGTGGGGGAATCGCCAGGTAGAGAAAAGCAGTCAGTCCCTCCCTCGCTTTGTGCCTCTGGGGTGGGGTGGCCCAGAGAACTTGGCCTTAACAGACTTAAGTTTTACACACTCGAGTACTTTCATTCTCTGCACTGCCATGCGAGAGAGCTGGGCAGGATTGCAGCTCCCCGTGACTCCCAGGTGGGCCAACATGCTGTAGAGGTGGTGCATTCAGCCCCTTGGGACTGGGAGAGCGGGGCAGGCAGTATGTTCCCTCACTCGGGGTGGCTGAGACTCCGTTTATGAACCACTCTCTTTTGCTGGCCAGTCAAGGAATAGCAGATGTGGCCCTTCATGCAGTCCCTGCTTCAGCCAAACGAGGAGCCCAACAGGCAATCTCTAAAGCATTACATTGAAAATTTGCTTTTAAAATAATGTTTAATAACAAAGGGGCCTCTTGGTGGTGGAAAGTTGTGATTCCTCACTAGCTACCCTTTAACAAGGGTCACTGACCCAGAGCACTGACAACAGTTGCCATTGGGCTCTAGCTGGGACAGAGCCCGGATTGAAATATCCGTCCTCTAGCTGGGAAAGCAGAGGAGAAGAACTGGGATTGATTTTGTTTAAACTTAACACTGCTTTTTCTCTTTCAGGTTTCTTAGTGAGACAAACCATAATAAATATTTGTCGGAGAAAGAGGCTGGAAAGTGATTCATACAATCCTCCACATGTCCGCCGAAAACAGAAAATAGCTGACATTGTCAATAAATACAGAAACAAGCAGCTGGAGCCAGAGTTTTATACCTCACTTTTCCAGGAGGTTGGGCTCAAGAACTGCAATCCCTAGACCACTATCCTTCCAGGACAATTAGATCAGAGCTTGGTGGCTACAGTAATCGAAACAATTAGACAACCAAAAAAACCCAAACCACCCTGCAAAAAATCTCCCCCTCAGTCCTCCAGAGTAGAGAGAAATGACTCAGTGGATACCATGCAGGAGGAGTCAGGAATGAATAGGCTCCCAACCTTCAACATCCTAATAAGACCACATCTTTGAACGGAACTCCATGTCCCCTGCACAAGAGGAGGCAGAAATTATACCACTTTCACCATTTAAACATTTTCCCATTCTGTTAGAAAAAATATAGCAAGTATGTCTGAGAGAGGCTTGAATACAGCCCTGATAGCCTCCCATGTTCACAGAAAATGACGGGTTCCAGGCATAGGTTCAGGAACTAACAGCTGGGGCTTCCTTCCTCGCTGCTCCAGGAGATTCGGTTCAAGAACTGATCATGAGACCCATTCCTTACAAGACATGAAATCAAGAACATGGTAGCTGGGATATTAACTTACCTTGCCTGCTCACCCACCCTCAACCAACCACTGCATTCCTCACCAGTCCTCCTGGATACTCAAAACAACATCTCTTAGCACAACCTTCATTCTCACCTAATTAGAGGAAAGAACAAATAAATATCTCATCCAGTGAGAAGGACACACCTCCATCTCTGCATAGGGGGATGGAAAATGAAATACAAATAAACCTGGCCCCCACATCTGAATGAAAGTTGTCTAAATGCTCACATGCACAAAAGAAGAAAGGAACAGAGTCATCTTCCCTTCACACCTGCTGGGGAAGAGAGACCCCATCTCGGAGCATTAACCATCCACCGTAAGGAGTTAAATAGAAGTTCTTAAAAATACCTCCAAACTCAATAGAAGAGACTTCTTTGACGGAGCGCATTCAACTTCTATAACAAGCTGAAGGAGAAAAAGGTTAGTTCATAAACATCAAGTCACAAAATCCATAGCTGAAGTGCTGTGATTCCATAGTTACCTCTCAATAAATTCCAGAATTACTGCTGGTGTTCGGCATGACTGAGTTTTATGCATATTTACACTTATACCAGGTATACACAGAAAACCTGAGATTACCTTACTTTCAAGAATTTTTTTCTACTAGATAACCGAGTTGTCTTGCACTTGTGTATAAACAAAGCTAAGGCATTACAGTCTGTTGCAAAATGTCACTTGGTTTTAATACAATTTGGTTTTATGCCACTAACTAAATAACCCATTTTAATGGTTAAATTGCCTGCTTGCTTACCATCAGATCAAAAAATGACACTCTCCAGAAAGACTGTTTAGATAGCTGTATGTACAAGGACTGTTACCAGGAACCATATTTCTGAGTGTGGTCCAGAACATTTGCTTTACTGTTGCTGAAATGGGAGAAGAGATTTGGGGGCTTGCCCATTAAAGAATGTTTAACTCTTTGATATTTGTGCAGGTGTCAGACTGCTCCTCAAACTGTTAAACTATGCCCTAAAGAACAATCACCCTGCTGAATGTGCTTTCTCTTCCACTCTGGGATGATCCAGGCTACCACAGCCCCTTTGTAGTGACTATTACACATCTAGCTCATAATTCAACATAAAATACTATAAAGACACTGTGCTTTTAGCTTGTTCATCTCAAGTAGTGGCTACTGTTTCTGAAAGTGCTTTCCTTTCCTAAGGACTGATGAAAGTGGCCAGTTGCCTTTTACAGCAAGGAGAGGGTTTGTAAGCTCTAAACTCCTCTATTGCCTCATTTTAGTGAGCACAGGTCAAACGTTTTCTTCAGAACCGTAGACCCTCCCTTTTCTGTGTCCTAACCTCACCGTTAAATATGCATATTTTAGTCCCAAGTAAAACAGGCCTGTAGCATGAAATGTGGATTATGAAAAGACATTCAGAGACTTTTAATGCAAATCACAATAAGTTTTGATATTTATTTAACTTTTCTATTTTTGAAAGTTACTTTTTGCAACAGTTCTGACTTCAAAACAGGCTTAGTAAGGAAAGTATTTCATCGCACAATATTAATGTAACAAGAAGTGGTCTTTTACAAAGAATAAATTGAAAAAGTGCCCTAAAAATCCACCTGAAAGAACTTTTGAGGCTGTGACAAAGGGGGGGTTGGGTGATGGAGTGTGCTCCTTACAGTGGGCTAGCATACTAGTCACTCACCTCTGGGAATTTGGGTTCAAATCCAGGTGGATCACAAGTGAAAAATGAGACCACAAAGAAACACTGCAAACGTTTGCGTGATTGCTTGTCCTTGCTTGTCCTGCCATGCCCAGGATTCAAATAGCAAAGGGGTTGCTGCAGGTCGGACATGAAGTCCAGTGGTAGAGCTGTAGAGGGAAGCTTGTGTAGCATCTTGCCAATGCTCGTTCAGTGCATGAGCACTAAATTTACCCACAGTCTTTATGTACCTATTGATCTAATATGACCAAACACATTTAGTCCACGGATTAAATGGCATGACCAGTGTATGTATACTGAAGTGGTGTAATAAACATGTTGAGCAATCAAATGTCTGCACATTATCAAGAACTGTTTTTAAAAAACAAACCACCATATATGTTTGACCAATGTAAGAATAGTCTAGATAAAGCCAGTAGTTCACATATAGACTAATGAGCTGCAAAAGACCTCAGTCTGTCCGTTATTCAGGCCTGAATAAGAGTCTGAAACATCAAGACAGCTGTACTGAGAGGGACATGGGTATTTTTTGTGATGTTCAGTCCAAGAAAGCCAAATAGTCTTCACGTTTTACTTTTAGAAAGATTAAAGATCTGCTGTTGGGTGAAGACCATTTCATGGTTTATTTTTGAGTCTCTAAGGTCAACTGAGACATGAGCATACCCGTATCACTGCTGTATTTATCCAGAGCCTGGGCAACAGAGCTTTATACCTTACTGACACAATCTTAATTTGGTTTTACAATTGGCTGTTTAACACGTCACCACGTGACTGTTACAGCTTGGCCATTAATGGTTTTTCACTTGTCTGAAATAGTGAGAAGGGTAGAACTTCTAGAGAAACACCGTCCAATATAAAACTATAGTGATTACACAAATACATAACTACTCCTTAGTAGATCCAGCATATCACCCTGAGTATTTACCACCAAATTGTTAGACCACATAAGAGAGATTTGACTTGGCCATGCTTAAAGGAACACTGGCAGATTAAAAATCCAGATTTCCTCACATGTTTCTAACAACACCATACATTATTACAACTGAAAATTAACCCCCTCCCCTCCGCACACACAAAATTTTCTTAACGCTTACATGGCTTACTTACTACTTGCATTTCATTCTTGCTAGACAACATATTGACTGTTTCACTTGCGTATAGTTTATTTTCAGTCTAGTCTCAGGCACCAGGATAGCACTACAATATTTGGGTTACAAACATTACACAGGTCTCAATTTAAATATTCCTTTTTTCCCTTTTTATATCCTGAAAACATTCTATTTGGGGTTTGTAAAAATGTTTAAACTGAGAGTATCCCTTTAATGATAAATTATTTCAATAGAATTTGAGAAAAGGTAACATACTGTCATCTTGTTAGCATTTCTGTCTTAGAGTTGCAATAATTTTAGGATCTTACATCTCATTTAAAGAGTTATAAAGTATCTTTGTAAAAAGTACTAAGGGTATTACAAATTTACAGCAAATGAATGGGAAAATCCATGTCAGTGAAAGATTAGATACCTTTGTGGACAGCATCCTCAGAGAAATTGTAGGAAGCGAAGCTAGTCCTTTGTAGCCTAACTAATCGAACCACTGGCTTCACAACAGATAGCTGTGTATTTCTCTCATGCAGTGTTCTGGATGTTTAGCCTGAAGGATAGCAAACTAAATTTGACTTTTAATGGTGAGAAAAAGTTAGATATGATTCAATGATCACACCGTTTAAAGGTTGATGTTTTTGAAGGAACCAAACGTATACTGTTTCCACACTGGGTTTTAGCAGGACTGGTTTGAAATGCGATTGCCAGGTATCATGTGCTTAAAATCATGTACACTTTGTGTGAACTTCTGTATGTTGCCAAGACATGATCTTTTTGTTTCTATTGTATTTTTCTGTAAATATTACTGGCGCTAAGTTGTAAAGTAAAGGCAAACTGTAAATATGAAGATGTGAACTATGTTCCCTTGTCTCTAGTACTTTATCTCTTATTTGTTTAGGGAAGGCACAAAGGCTTGTATGTATTTAGGCCAATTATTTGTCCAGAAGAAACACATCAAATATTGAATGTAACACAATTAGTCCAATAAATTTTAAAGAAATTCTTATCTAGTACCTGAGTGGTGTTCAATTTGTGAGCACGTTTTTGTCCAAGCCAACACATTCACCCAACATGCCACGGTCAGCATTAATTAATGGAGGTACTGAAATAGCTGCTCTGTAGCTTAGCTCTGGTTACAGTGCACAGGCTTGGCTTTAAGTAAACCAAGATCCCGCAAGCCACAATCTAGGGAGGTAGTGCCTCACAAACGTACAGTAATTTGTGCTCACTACAACCCTGTTACACACAGGGAACTGCTGTTCGGAAAGGCAAAGTGTCACGTGGTCTCTATGGCAGAGTCTGCAATAAAGTCCAGATGTATTGACTTAACCACAGGGCCAGCCTTGCTCTGTGTCATGATGCCACAACCTAAAAAGCCTTGTCCCTGGAAGCAATTCAAGTCAGTCCAAGGGAGATACCACCAGGTACTGCATTCCTGCTGAAATGACACTTGGGAACCATGGCACTATCAGAGAAAAGTGGCGGTTCATTCAGTGTTCTGCCTTAGACACTGGACAGCAGATAGGTATTCAGTGTGAATCGTCTGTGCCTCAAATTTCTCCTGTGGATTCTTGTCTTGATTCATAGATTCCAAGGCCAGAAGGGACCATTGTGGTCATCTAGTCTGACCACCTGGAGAACTCAAGCCAGAGAACTTCTTCAAAATAATTCCTAGAGCAGATCTTTAAGAGAAACATCCAATCTTAATTTTAAAATGGTCACTGATGGAAAATCCACCACAACCCTTGACAAATTGTTCCAATGCTTTATTACTCTTAACTCTTAAAAAATTTCACCTTAGTTCCAGTCTGAATTTGTCTAGCTTCAGCTTCCAGCCACTGGATCATGTTCCACCGTTCTCTGTGAGATTGAAGAGCCCATTATCAAATATTTGTTCCCCTTATAGATACTTAAACTGTGATCAAGTCACCCCTTAACCTTCTCTTTAAGTTAAAAATTGAGCTCCTGGAGTCTATCACTGTAAGGCATGTTTTCTAACCCTTTAATCATTTTTGTGGCTCTCTGAATCCTTTCCAATTTATCAACATCCTTCTTGAATTGCGGACACCAGAACTGGACACAGGATTCCAGCAGCGGTTGCACCAGTGCCAAATACAGAGGTAAAATAACCTTTTTACTCCTCCTTGAGCTTCCCCTGATTGTGTCCTAGGATTGCATTAGCTCTTTGGCCATAGCATAATACTGGGAGCACATGTTCAGCTGATTATCCACCATGACCCCCAGATCTTCTTCTGCATTGCTTCCCATGGTAGAGTCCCCCATCCTGTAAGTATGGCTGACATTCTTTGTTCCTAGATGTACACATTTACATTTAGCCATATTAGTAACACACATTGGTTGCTTGCACCAGTTTACCAAGCAATCCAGATCGTGCTGAATTAGTGAATTTTTAACCCAAAAATTTGCAGAATGGTAAATAATGAAGGGTGGTATTTGCCACTCTCCAATTTTTTAGTTCATCTGTAAACTTTATCAGTGATCATTTTGTTTTCTTCCAGGTCACTGATAAAAATGTTAAATACTTTGGGGCCAAGAACTAATCCCTCTGGGATCCCGCTACAAACATCTGCTTGAGGACTATTTCCCATTTACAATTACATTTTGAGACCTGTTTTTAATCTGTTTTAATGTGTACCATGTTAATTTTTTATCATTCTCGTTTTTTTAATCAAAGGGCGTGTCTACACTAGAAACTGTTAGGTCAACTTACAACCACTGCAGTAACTGGTTCATGTCCACACTACCCTCCTTCCGTTGGTTGTGAGCATCCTTACTAGGCTCTGAGCTTCACATGTAGCCCCCCACCAGGAGCCTCTCCCACCCCCAGCTCTCTGTTCCCCACTGTCAGGAGCCTGGGTGGGCTCCCAGCAAGGAGCTCCATGCCCAGAGCCCGAGCAGCTCCTGGTCTCTGCAGGGAGCTGGGAGCCTCTGGGCGGCCAACAGGCTCCCCAAAGGGAACCTCCAGGCAGCACCTAGGGAGCCCAGGGTGCGGCCCACCTGGGAGCCAGCAGCGAGCCTCGGCAGCAGCCACGCGGGGGAGTTGGGTCCCAGGGGGCCAGCGTGGCTCTAAGCGAGGTGGGCCTAGCCCGGCTGGCAGCTGGGCTCTAGTTGGAGCCACCCACCCACCCACCCAGGTGTGACATCCCAGTTTTCTTGTCAATTTCACGGCTCCATGACAAGAAATTGACAAGAATGACCACCAACAGCTGATATTAGTAAGGCAGTGTCTACAGGGATACTGTGTTGCCCTAACTACACCAACATAAGTCCTACGCCTCTTGTGGAAGTGGAGTTTTGTTGGTGTAGTAGGGCACTTACATCGCTGGGAGCAAGGCTGTGGTGTGTACACTGACATAATTAGGTCCCCATAAGCTGCCTTACCTCGACCTAACTGTAGGGTAGACCAAGCCAAAATATTATGTGGTACCGAGTCAAAAGCCTTACAGAAGTCAAAGTATATTACATCAATACTGTTACCTTCTCAGCCAAACTTCTAATCTCCCCCCCCATCAAGTTAATTGACTAGGATCTATTTTCCATAAATCCATGTTGATTTGCATAATTACATGACTCTCCTTTAATTCTTTATTAATCGAGTCCCATATCCATCGCTCCATTAGCTTGACCAGGAGTTAGGTCAGGCTGACAAGGCTATAATCACCTGGGTCATCCTGTTTTACTCTTTTTAAAAATTGGTGCAATATTAGCTTCCTTCCAGTCTTCTGGAACTTCCCCAGCGCTCCAAGACTTAGATAGGAAACAAATGGTAAAAATGGTCCGTTGTCACAATAGGGAGAGGTAACAGTGGGGTTCCTCCAAGGAGCTGTACTGGGACTAGTGCTGTTCAACATAGTCATTAATGATCTAGAAAAAGGTGAACAGTGAAGTGTTTAAAAGTTTACAGATGATAAACTGTAAACTGATAAACAGGTACTTAAGAGAGTTAAGTTAAAAGCTGACTGCGAAGACTTTTATAGGATGATCTCACAAAACTCGTGAGTGGACAACAAAATGGCTGATGACCCCCCACCCCCACCCTCCAGTTCACTCTCTACAGCCCCCCACCACCATCTTTGGGGGCCGTCTTGCCCCGTTTGCCCACCAATGGGGCAAGATCACCACGGATCGCTGGAGATCATACAACGCAGCTACTAGAGAGAGTTCCTCACCTTCCCCTCCCAGGAGCCTCACCCATGATGCCTTCCTCCAACACGAGGCAGACATCCTCCTCATGAAGGGTGCCATAGAACCCGTGCCCTCCCACTTTGCTGGCAAGGGCGTCTACTCCCCATACTTTCTCACCCAAAGAAGGGCGAGGGCCTCCGCCCTATCTTCAATCTCCACTTACTCAGCACTTTCATCAGAAAAACTAAGTTCCATATGCTGAGGCTCACCTCCATGATTCCTTCCATCCACCAGGAGTTGCGGTTTGCAGCCCTTAACAAGAAAGACACGTACTTCCATACTGATGTCCACCCAGCCCATCGCAAATTCTTCTCTTTCTGCATCAATTCAGGCGTTGCCACGGCCCTGGGTCTTCACCAAGGTATCTGTGGTCATAGCAGCCCACCTTCGCTACCTGGAGCACTTTGTGTTCCCTTACCTGGACAATGGCTTCTGGTGTCGCCATTCCTTGCCAAGACAATGGCAGCTGTCACCACCCTCTGCTTGCTCCTTGCCTCACGAGGCATCTGTGTCAATGAGGTGAAATCCATGTTTCTCCCCACACAAGTGATCCATTTCATAGGAGAGTGTCTGGAGTTTATAGTAGCGAGAACCTTCCTCCTAGCAGACTGCTTTACCATCCTCACGGCTCTCGTGACAACCCTGTACCGCAACCTGCACATGACGGTACACCATTGTCTCTGCCTCCTCGGCCACATGGCAGCCTGCACCTCTGTGATGCCACAAGCTGGCCTCCACATGCGCCATCTATAGCTATGGCTCCTCTCCGTCTGCCCGCACCACATCGCCTCGTCCCTGACTGTCCTGAGTTGGGGCCATACTTCCCTCACCTGGTGGACTGATCCTGCTAAGGTGTTCAGAGCCACCCTGTTTGCCACTCCCAATATGCCTCCCTGGTGGAGTTGGGTGTACACTTAGCCAGCCGTGCTGCACAAGGGACGTGGACCCCCAGGGAGGCGCGCATGCACATCAATATGCTGGAGCTGCAGGCGGTCAACCTGGCTTGCCACGCATTCCTGCCTGGCCCTGACAGTTCTGGTTTCCTGATCTACTCAGACTGTCTGCCCACCCGCCAATCAGCCTCTCCACCCTGCCGGACCTACTCACCCAGGACAACGGCAGGGTTTGAAACCATAACCCAGGCCCACTTCAACTGACGGCCTGGTTTTTGGATGGGGTTCACACGTAGACAACTCCTGTTCATCACCAGTCCACCATATACTTATAATCAGCAGACGGGACTCCATGTGGGGATGGTACACTGCAAAGTGGAAGTGCTTGACCTCCTGGGTGCAATGCTACCACCTTCCCCGCCAGGCCGTCTCCTTGCCTGTTGTTCTAGACTAACTGCTGGAGCTCAAGAACTCAAGCTTCGCATTCAGCTTGATCTGTATCCACCTTGCGGCACTTAGCGACTTCCTCCCTCCAATGGACGGACAGTTGGTGTTTACCCACCCTACCACTACCCAGTTTCCGAAGAGCCTGACTGGCTCCTGCCAGTCCTTACCCCCTACCGTTCACGGGACCTTAATCTTATGCTATCTGCCCTCGCCGGGCCTCCCTTCGAACCACAGTTCACATGCTCCCTCACCCACCTATCCATGAAGGTTCTCTTCCTGGTGGCCATCACTTCTGCCTGGCGAGTTAGTGAATTGGTGGCCAGGATGGCTGACCTCCCCCAGACACAGTCTCCCTGTGCCATCACCCTAAGTTCCTCTCAAAAGTCATTTCTGAGTTTCATTTCAACCAGTCCATCCATCTTCTGGTCTTCCCTACTACACTGTATGCCACTGCCGACGACAGGA